AAGATTGATTATTTTTAATCTTATTGGCTATAATTTAAATCTTTTCAGCTATATTTAATAAATTATTCAATTCAATTATGTAATCTGGAATTTATAAATTACGAGATTGTAATAATAATATTAGACTATTATATTATTTTTTAGCTTTCTATAATTCAACTGTTTTATTTCCTTTTAATATTTCTTTTAATTTTAATAGGTATATGTTAATCTTTAAATCATCCATTAATTATTAATCTTAAATAAATGATTAAATTAATCTTTAGTATAAAGATGTAAGAGCAGAAATATCTTCACAAGAACAATTTTTAAATTCTTCTTGAATTTAATAAATATTTTAAAAATCTTAATAAAATTCTTTTGAAATAAATTCATGTGCTATATTACATGTTTTTATTTCTTAATCTAATAATCTTGCTTCAATAATTGTAAAACATTATTTGAATTTTTATAAATCTTATTTTGATTTCCTTTTCTCTAAGAATATCTATTTTCTATTATTATAATCTTTGATTTTATCAACTAATGCATTAAAACAAGCAATTTTTTAAAGCAAACTTACACATATTAATGATTGTTTAGGAATATGTGACATAACAATAACATCTTATAATAATTTTAAACTTTCATATGTAAATTCTGGAATTGTTGTTATTTCAAAATATTTCTTTATAATTGTAACCCATACATTATATATTTTAACTTAATCCCAGATTCCTCCTTTTATACAAAGAGTTACTTAACCATATAAATAAAACCATCCTTCTATATCTTAGACAAGAGGCACTTAAAATAGATAATTTCCAATCTAAGAACCTAATGCAAAGACTATTTTGTGTTGATTAGAGAACATCTCAGAAAATAATAATAATTTTGCTTAATCATTTTCATCCAATGTAAATGTCTTAGATAATACTTAATCAATTAATGATAATTGTATTTCTTATTTAGATTCCCATAAAGATAATAATAATTTAGCTTGTTTTTACCAAAGAAATTGCTAGTAATTATTTAATACAATATTTATTCTTTTATCAAGTATTATTGATTATTTACTTAATATATTATCTAATTCTAGTATGATATTTTCATTATCATCTTTAAATAAAATTTAAAAAGGATTACAAACTTAATTAATTTTAAATTATAAATCTGGATTTTTATCATCTTCAATTTCCATTTCTTAATCTGGAGATTTATATTTTTAATAAAATTCATATAATTATTAAATAAATTAGCAAGCTTTATTCAAACTCTATAATTATTATTTCTCTTCATAAATTATCTTACTTTAAGAAATATCTTAGAGTAATTATTTAGCCTATTCTAATTATTCTGTTTCAAATATTTCATTTTCTAATAAAACTTTAATTTCTTTCTTCTTCTATAAACATTTAGTTATTTCTTATTCAAATTAATTAATAATCTTTTCATCAAAATTTAATTCTTTAGATTTTTCATATGCTTATTCTAATTATTAAAGTGTTTAAGATTTAGCAATTCTTATTTTTTCAACTTCTTAAAATTATTCTAATCTTTTCTATAATTCAGAAATTTCAGGTACATCATAAATCTTATTCATTTATATTTCTGCTTAAAATTTCTTTCTCATTTATTCATTTAAATTCTTCTATTCTATCATACCTCTTAATTTTTATCTAAATTCATTTAATTATTTCTCAACTTATTCCAAAATCTATTTATCTTTTTCTGGAGCCCTAAGCTCAATAGATAATTATTTTAACATTTAAAGATGTTCTTATGTTATCTTAGTTTAAATATCTTTAGTAACTTAAATTTCACTTTCATCTTCATCTTTTTCTTATTATTCTAAATCTTGCATATATCTTTCATACAATTAATATTTAGATACAATTTGATACAAATCTGGAAAATCTTTATAATGAAATGGCAATTCTTCAAGCTTACTTAATAATATTTATATTTCTTCATTTGATTTAGTATTTTCTAATTATTCAACTATTAATTATCCTTCTTACAATTCTTATTTTAATATTTCAACCCATGGTACTGAAATTAATAATGCATTAAAATCTTAAATTGTTTTTTCTACAAATTCTTTACTTAATTTAGTCTAATTTAATTTAATTCTAGTTTCAGAAGTAAGACTATAAAATTATTAGTAATTTTTAATTTAAGTCATTTATAGACCTAAATAACTTTGTAATTTTTCATAATCTTCTAATTCATCTTCTATTTCATCTTCTTCTTCAGAATCCTAGACTTCTTCATTCATAATTTATTCAAAATCACAGAATTTATCTTCAGCTTCTTACAATTTATTAATGAATCTTTTCTTAATTAGTTTATATTCCTAAACTTATTATTATAAATATATGAATTCTTAAAATTCATTTGATTTAAATTGATTTTAAATAGTTTTTTTAGTTATTTTAGTTTTAGATGTAATAATTTGAAATGCTGATTATAAATTATTTAATTTATTTAGTAATTCAATATAAAATTTGGATTCATCAAAATCTTTAAATAAATTAATAACTTAATTTAATTTATCTTTCAAAGCATTATTATATATAATGTTTTATTAGATTATTTGATTAGATTCATCTAATTAAGATAGTATTATCCATTAATTATCATCTCTATAAGGTATTTATTATTTAAAAAGGAAATTCATAAAATCAGTGACATTAGATTTTTATTTAATTTATGATAATTATTATTATAAGGGTTGATAGAATGGTAAATTACCTAATATAGTTTCTATAATTGAGTATTCAGATTCAGAATCTAATATATAATTATTAAATATTTACATGATTATATTTGAGCAGTCAAACTTCTTTCACAATAAATACCTAAAATAATTAGAGTATTGAATGTCATCTTTAAAAAAGGTGGCAATAAAGATTTTAAATTATTAACAGGAACATATTTAAGAATATGATCAAATCTATAATTGCTCCATTGATTACAAAAAGGACAGAAATAATGATCTTTATTTTTCTATTCTTCATAATCATCTTGATATTAACGTAAACATTTATCATGATACCATTCCATACAGGTTTCACATTAAACCATTTCTTCAGAATCATTAGCTTATTATTATTAACAACAACAATATATCTATTAATTCTAATGAGGAGAACAATAGAATTCAACCAATTAACTATTTTAATATAAATAAAATACTCTTTTTCTTCTTCAATTTTTTCTTATTATTAATACATATCATATAATTAATCTATATTAATTGATTTGTCCACTTTCTATATTTCCATAAATTATTATAAGATAATTTAAGATTTAGTTTTTAATTAAGTTTTATCATTTCCTGCTTAAACAAGATTACCAGAACAGAATATTTATTTATAATTAAATTAGATTTCCCATCCTGTTGATTTTTATGAATTTTCTGAGTATTATAAATTATAACCACCAAAACTTACTATGTAATTAACAATACAATATATATGTGCATAAGAATTACATTCTTATTATTAACATTTAATTGTGGCTCCTTATGATTTACAATAAGAACATATTTATTTAGGAATTTGTATTACATTATTAGGTTTCTTGAATTTCATTTCCATAAATGATATTAATTCAACTTGTTTAGATAGTAATCCACAAAGGGGATGAATAAATTCATTTGTATCATTAATTCTTTTTTTCAAACCACCTTTTTGATTACATACAATGCATATTTGATCTTATTTTTGACTATATTTGCATTTATCACATGCAAAATATCCTTAATTATTAGAATTTGGATTCAACTCTATTTCAGTGGAAATACCATAACAATATAAGTGACAACTCAATTAACAACCATAACAGGATATTATTGTCATACCTTTATAACTATTATTTTTCTATATTTACCTCTTTCTTATTATTAATATCTGCTTTCAAATCCAACTGCACAAATATCACAAGCTTAACTCTAAATGATTTTTAATATATTTATACTTATAAATCTCTTGATATTGTTAACTTTTTGGGTCTGAATCCAATATCTTTCTTATTTAATTGGTTATAAACTAAAGATAAAATAGGAATTAAAATTAATATATAATGGTATATATAGCGAACAAATGCATTATTTATAACACACCTACTGAAAGATCTTATTGCTCATTTTCTTCGTTGTCCATTTTGTTACTTCTAATTTGCTTAAAATGTTTAAAAAAAATAATTAAATTATTTATATCAAGAATTCCTTTTAATTATTTATATTATATACATTATGTAATCCTTTAACTACTTTTATGTCTACTTATAGTTCTCATAAATAAATAATTTATCAATTAATAAAATCAATTCCACTTAATTAATAGTCATCTATCTCTATTATCTACATTCATATATATATATATTTATATTAAATTTATAAATTATCGTTAATGATTCCCTCTAAAATTATCAAAAGATAAGAATCACTAACATCAAATACAATTTAAGATCTATCATAAATGAAAAAGGTANCTTTCTATATTTCCATAAATTATTATAAGATAATTTAAGATTTAGTTTTTAATTAAGTTTTATCATTTCCTGCTTAAACAAGATTACCAGAACAGAATATTTATTTATAATTAAATTAGATTTCCCATCCTGTTGATTTTTATGAATTTTCTGAGTATTATAAATTATAACCACCAAAACTTACTATGTAATTAACAATACAATATATATGTGCATAAGAATTACATTCTTATTATTAACATTTAATTGTGGCTCCTTATGATTTACAATAAGAACATATTTATTTAGGAATTTGTATTACATTATTAGGTTTCTTGAATTTCATTTCCATAAATGATATTAATTCAACTTGTTTAGATAGTAATCCACAAAGGGGATGAATAAATTCATTTGTATCATTAATTCTTTTTTTCAAACCACCTTTTTGATTACATACAATGCATATTTGATCTTATTTTTGACTATATTTGCATTTATCACATGCAAAATATCCTTAATTATTAGAATTTGGATTCAACTCTATTTCAGTGGAAATACCATAACAATATAAGTGACAACTCAATTAACAACCATAACAGGATATTATTGTCATACCTTTATAACTATTATTTTTCTATATTTACCTCTTTCTTATTATTAATATCTGCTTTCAAATCCAACTGCACAAATATCACAAGCTTAACTCTAAATGATTTTTAATATATTTATACTTATAAATCTCTTGATATTGTTAACTTTTTGGGTCTGAATCCAATATCTTTCTTATTTAATTGGTTATAAACTAAAGATAAAATAGGAATTAAAATTAATATATAATGGTATATATAGCGAACAAATGCATTATTTATAACACACCTACTGAAAGATCTTATTGCTCATTTTCTTCGTTGTCCATTTTGTTACTTCTAATTTGCTTAAAATGTTTAAAAAAAATAATTAAATTATTTATATCAAGAATTCCTTTTAATTATTTATATTATATACATTATGTAATCCTTTAACTACTTTTATGTCTACTTATAGTTCTCATAAATAAATAATTTATCAATTAATAAAATCAATTCCACTTAATTAATAGTCATCTATCTCTATTATCTACATTCATATATATATATATTTATATTAAATTTATAAATTATCGTTAATGATTCCCTCTAAAATTATCAAAAGATAAGAATCACTAACATCAAATACAATTTAAGATCTATCATAAATGAAAAAGGTACAAAGTAATCTAATATTGGTATCCAAAGCATGTAGTTTACCAAAATAATTTTAGAAAAATGATAAATTGAAAACTTCAGGAAATAAAATAGAATCTATTAAACATTCAAAAAATAACTCTATGAATCATTTATCAACTACTGAAAATACTAAAATTATAGATTCTATTCAAAATGCTTCTTCTATTTATATTAACAACAAAACAGAAGAATTTTAAATAAGAAATGAGATTCAACATAAATCATAAATTATTATGGATTTAAATAAAAATATATCCTAATTATAATTTCATAATGCCAATTAATAAGTTACGATATCATATTTAGAAAAAGATGTTTAATAATTAAATTAAACAATAGAAAAAATGTGTTAATAACTTTCAGATTCTAATAATGATTATAGTAATGAATTATTAGATCTTAAAAATTAAATTACAAAAAAAGATAAATTAATAATGTTTTACAAATCTGAAAATTAATAATTATTAAATATTATTAAATAGGGATCATATGCTAAAATAAAAGTAGATAAAGAAAATCAACCTAATATCACTTAAGCAAATCAATAGGATTAAATTAATTATTTAAAAGATTAAATAGATTTATAAAGATAATAATTTTAATAAACTGAAAATTCTTTATAAAAATAAATATCAGGATTAAATCAATTTGTTAATGAATTATTTAATTAATAATTATCTGAAAGATTAAATACTAATATTAGCAGTAGAGCTGATAAAGATATTAGAAATAGAAAACATTCATTATAAAATGATATGGATTCATTCTAATCTTAATTATAAAACCTTGATAAATAATAAAGATTAGATCATTAATTTGATAATGTATAATGTAATCTTAATTAATTAAATGAAAAATATTTAAATACAATTTATACTGATAATCTAAATACACATAATATAAAGGAAATAACAAAATTATAACAAATTGTTCAAATACAAAAGAAATAAATTGAATTATAATAAAAAACTATACTTAATCAACACTTTGAAATTCAAAATTTATAAACATTACTTTATAAAAATGATTTAGATTGTCTCCCTAAATTTAGTGAAAAAAAAGAAGTTTAAGAAGATATTATAACAAATGATTTTACAAATTCTCCAAAAGATGATATGTATAATTATTATTATTATATTATTTTTTAGTTATCATTTGAATGACAGTTAAAGTGAGATTAAACCTAAATACTATTTGGATAATATTTAAAATATATTCTAGAAATTTTAAGTTATAACAGAAGAAAATACTTTCAGAAATTGAATTCTATACTTTATATCTTTATTTAATATAAACCTTGATTTTAATTAATTAATTACATATAATATAAATCTATTAAGTCAATGGATTAACCAAAAAATAAAATAATATTAACTGGAGATCAACCAGATAAATTAAAATAATTATAACTTAGGGTTCAAGTAGAAGTACCAAAATTAGTTAGAGATGATTTAATTTAAAAATATTCAAATGAGGATCATTTAATTAGATTATTAATTGCTAGAGAATGGAAAATAAATGATGCATTTGAATAATGGAAAAGATGGGTTGAATGGAGAAAATAATATAGAGCAGATGATATTAAGATTGAAGAAATTTAATAAGAAATAAGTTTAAGAAAAGCATTTTGGAATGGAGCTGATAAATTAGGAAATCCATGTTTAGTTGTGAAAGCAAAGAGACATTTTCCTGGTCAAAGTAATCCTGAAACATTAATAAGATTTTTTTTATATATGATTGATTAAGGTATACAGAAAGCTGATTAAGCTGGTACTGGTAAAATTAGTGTGATTTGGGATAGAGAAGGTGTTACATCAAAGAATTTTGATTCATCAATGTTTACAATAATGAAGAAAATGGTGACTTTGGTATAAGATAATTATGCAGAGAGATTACATTAATTATTCATTCTATATCCTAATTTTTTAGTTAAATCTATTATGACTGTTGTAAAACCATTCTTAAGTGAGAAAACAAAATCTAAAATAATATTGTGTAATAATTTGAAGGATCTACAAGTTTATTTTAATGAGAATTATAAAATATCTGATGGTCTAATAGATGATAATGTAGAATAAATTCAAGATGAGGATACTGAAGAAGAGAAAAGAAAAATAGAATAAATGATAGCAGAGTAATAATGATATTATTAAATTATAATAGTATAATAATTCTATTTATTTTTTTTGTATATTTTTATTTAGTGTTTTAAATACCTAATAATTGTGTATATATTCATATGAAAATAATATTCTTATGTTTAAAAGTTTATTTTATTATTATTAATAATTATATTGAGATATCTTTTATATATATATAAATATTAATTAATGAACTTAAATGATTTATATAGTATATTATAAACTTATAATATCAGACTAAAAAGTAACCTTTTCTTCTTATTGGTGGTTATGGTAAAGTTGGTGTTTTTTCTTATGAAACAATCCATTATTGAATATTATTAAATTATTCAATAGTTCTGTTTATAATTTTATTAAATTTAATCCCTTCATATTTATTATATAGTCCTTCATATCTTGGAGAATTATTAAATCCAGTTTTATCACTGGCTAAAGCTATATATTGATACATTTCTAATTTTCTATTAGGTGTCATATGACTCATTAAAACCTTATCTTTAATTGACCCAATACTTTAATGAGGATTAGATACTATTAATTTAGATGGTTCATAATTTTCATTTGTGAGTAATTAAGAATTATATCTCCTTTCTGTTTATCGAATATTTAAATTAGCTTCATCCTTAATAACTTTAATATCTGGTATTTTCTTTTAAAAATATTTTTCAACATAATATTTCTAATGAATATTATCAGATTTTTAAGGAAATACAATTTCATAACATTCATCATCAGATGATACTTATTCTATATCAACAATTAAATGATCTTTATTTATTTTATTAGATAAACTTCCTTATTCTAATCTACTCAAGGCTAACAAACGAACTCTTGAATTTTCATCCTAATAAAAGAATAGAGATTACCTCACAATTTCCATTAATCATTCTATCATGAAAGAGTTTGGCCTTTTCAATTTATCCAACATAAAAATAATATTTACCCAATAATTCATATGCAAGTAATTCATCATTCTTTTATTTTAGTCTCCAAGCTGCCATTAAATATTTTGTAAAATATAATTAACTTAATTTTGGATAAATTCTTAATAAACATTCACCTAAACCTCTGTAAGCTTTCATTTTATTACTATAATGTGCATCAGTATCTGATAATCTTTTACATATTTTAAAATATATAGCTCCTTATATAGGATTATAAAATAATTATTCTATTTTTCCAAAAATATAAAGTATTCTTTAATGTACACATATGTTTTTTTATTTAAAACATTCAAGTAATATTTCTTTCATTTATTATTCACACTCTTATCTATTAAATTTATAAGCTAATAAACCAGTTAAATTTTATATAAGTTATTCCATACTTAACCATGCTTCAGTTAAGTATCTTGAAACTTTTTGATCAGCAGTAATCTCATCATAATCTTAGGAATCTCTTATTGATTTAATATCTTCATTATATTATTAGATTATATATTAGGTCATTTTATAAATGCGAGATTATTTTTTTAATGTATCAGTATTAGTCTATAAAGCTTCAGGAGCCTTGTAAACATTAAAGAAATCACTTTATCTAGTACATTTTTTAGTAAGTCTTTATCCTATTTTTCTTTAAGATTTTTATTGTTTCATTTTCAATTCAGGTAATTGAGCAAGAGGAGTTTGATGATTACTTTCTGTTCTGTCTGTTTATGGTTAACGTAATTCTCTTAAAGTCATAGCTTTATTTAAAGATATTTGAGTCTTTGATAATGTTGTTCTAGATATTCCCAAACTATCAGTAGTGTAATCTTAAGAAAATTTAATATTTTTCATTAATTATTTATAATACAAATCAGAATCCTATTATTAATTCATCATAGTTCATTTTATCTCTCAAAGTTTCTACAAATGTTCATTCTAATATAATAAATATCACATTACAAGAATTTTGGAGTAGTTAATAATTATAGTCCTTAAAATCTAGGTAATTTTGGAACAACATAAGCAAGGTAATAATAAGTATGTCCAATCAATGCTCCTATTAAATTAGATTGAATTGATCTTCCAGATATTATATTTAGAAATATAAAAAACCAAACCATATATTATGCTTTGATTGGAATTACAAACATAACTAAATAGACATAATAATTTTACATAATAAAGGTCTTTCTTAATTTTATCTACCCCAAACATACATTAATGCTTCTACAAAGTATTCTGTCAATGAATGCTCATTCAACCATAATCCAATTAATGTAATTGTGATGAAATTCAACATCAAATAATATAGATAATTTGCAAATCCTCTAAAAGTATGTAATTCTAATGAAGATGATATTGATTAACTATTTATCAATATTCAATATATACAAAAAGAATAGTCTTAATACTGTTATTAAATCCAAATCTCCAAAATATAAAATACTTGTTAATGCCCTCCATGGCTATTCACAATATAATAAAAATTACTTAAAATTAATCCGAAAAGGCTAATTTATAATTTAAATATAGGTTTGAAGGTTTCAAATACTAAACATATGTAGCATAACTCAATATCACACTACTGATTACGATAACTCTAGTTAAAGGTGGAATATCTAAAATATGTTGCAATACCATTCTCAATTTTATAAATATTAATAATTCCATTTTTCAATAAATAACGAATAAAATTAAAACAAACATAAAGAGTCATCAATTTTTATACCTTCAATCTTAATAAGAATAATTTCTTATAAATATTTTAAATAATAACTTTTAAACATATCACAATATTAATTACTAATACCTAAAAATTGTAAACACTTTTGTTTGATTAAGTTGTTTTAATATTTCTCTAAATTAAACTTTATTGATGATGATAGTAATTTTAAGTAATTATAATATTATTTATTCAATTATTCAATTTAATTCTAAGTTATTTAATTAAATATAATAAAGAAGTTGTAACCCATATTGGTAAAAACTAATTACAATACAAAAATAGAATTTGTACAAATTATAAATACTATGTTTAAATTATATCTTTAATTCATAAGTTTATTATCAAATATATTAATATTAAAAATAATCTAGTTTTCATTATAAAACTATATATTAAAATATCAAGTAAATAATGAAACAAATTAATTTTTAATTTATAATGGATAAAAAATGATAATTCCTTAGATCTATAAAATAACTACTATAATAATATTATTTTTATTTTCTTTAATTTATCTTATATATACATATATATATTCAATTTAATCATGATAATATTTCTACTAAAAATATTAATTATCACTATTGATTAATTAAGTAGTATTTTTCTTAAACATTTATATTAGTTTATAATACAAAATATAATTAAAATAACTTTGTTTCAAAAAAATTATTAAACCAGAACTTATTCTTTGTTAAGAATATAAAAACTGAATTTTCTATTGATCATCTTACTATATTTAATTAATTTATATGTAATAATACTAAATTTTAATGTTTTTAAATTATCCATGATTAGTCAATATTATACCAAAACTCTATATCAAAAGCTAATCGATGAAAAAATATTGAAATAAAATATAAATGAAAACTATAACTTTTAATTGAATCAAATAAGAAAGAACTCTCTCTTATATATATATTTTATATTATCATAAATGTTCAGTAAAAATGTGAATTTTATTATTTAATAATGAGTTCATGAATAGAAACAAACATTAAATAGATTCTACCCATTCTTTTGTTCTAATTAATTATTTGTTGAATTTATAAAATAATCAATAACATATGTATTATTTGTACTTTTGTTAAGAAAATTACAAATAGAAACTAACTACTAATATACTTTAAGTATAAAAAAAGGAATAGGGAATGATTAAATGGAAATGATTAAAATAACATGAAATTAATTAAAATATACATTTCATGTAATAACAATAGAAATGATCGCTTTTAAGGTACTAAAATCAAAGAAAAGTATGAATTAATAATAAATTAGAATGATATTGAACAATTTTAATATACTCGAAGATTTATAAGGGTAAAAAAAAACAAAGTATGACATAATGTAAGGAAAGATAGTTTAAGAGTTGATTTTTACATAAAAATTGATGTTTTTAAGAAAATTGAAATGTAATTTAAGTATTTAGAATAGGAAGATGAAGAATGAAAGATTAAAATTTATATTTTTTTTGAAAAGTGTTATAAGTGAAAAGTTGGTTTATTTTAATTAAGTAATTAAATTGTATTAAATCATTCATTTAAATGAGAAGTATGATATATTTAATTTGTGGTAAATGGTATTGAAATGTAAAAAGTAAAGTAGTAAGTGATTAAGATGAATTTTACAGAACAAATTTAGAGGAAATAGAGAGGAAATATTTATAAATTTAAAAAGTTGTTACAACTAATTTAATAAAAAATAAATTATTATTATTATTTTTCATATATTCAATAACATTAACATTAGGTAATCAAGAATTGATTCTTGGTAATATAAAACTATATTATGATTAATATAGATTATGTTAGATTGGAAATGGATATTAAGTTTGATTTGGGGAAGGAGGTTCATGTTCTTATTTTACATTTATATATTGTTTAACTTCTAGAAGTTACTTTATTATCAATTAAGATGCCCATAATAAATTTTGTAAAGTACTCTAATAAAGTGGATTAGAGTTTCCCATAGCTTTTTAGAATTATTAAGATAATATCATATAGAGTTTCTAACATTACGATTGAAGAAGACAACGTTATTCTTTTGCCAAAATTACTTAGTCTTCTTATGAAGGTTGCTTATCCATATAAATCTATAAAATAATATTTAAAAGTACTTGACTAACTTCAGATGATACAATAGGTTCTGATAATTAAAAGGTGAATGGATTTACTATTGAAATTTTAAGGATAGTCTAAACCTTAAGCTTCTTCTTTCTTGTTTCCTTTTTACCTATACGACCATCTTTTTCAAATGCTTTTTAAATTGTGCGAACAGTACAATATTTTAGTTTAAGTCTATTAGCTACCTATATTAAATAATGTTTAAAATATCATATATATTAGTTAAAGGTATTGATAATTTTAGCAAAATTTGATACCTCTTAAAGGGATAGTTTGTCATTTAGAAGTAGCTTTAATACTATTCTCCTTTCTTCTTTATTGATCTTTTAGTATTTTCTTGTTTTTCTTTGTTATTCATTGGCATCACTTGACTTTGTCATAATAAAAGAATCTTATTTTATTATATTTATAAAACAAAATTTAAAAATAATGCTTATTAATTTAAATTAAGATTCAATTTTTTATTAATTAAATATACTAATCTGCATTGATTTAGTAATTATTAAAAAGTGATTCAACATCATCTATCAGCCTTTGAAACAAAAATAAACTGAGATTTAAGAACCTATAAATTAAAATATATATCTTATGTAACTGTTTTATATATTACTTTTCATTAATATTTCTAAATAATTTAGAGTACTTTATATATTATATCATCTATATTTTTAATACTATCTTCTTTAATATTGTATCATTAAATTAAATATCCCAGCATATCAATATAAAAAATACACATATTCTTGATTATTGATATTTAGGCAATGTTCTCAATTTCGTTTTTAAATCAAACAATTTTTTTCAATCATTCATCTAAAAAATAATCTATATAACTCTCTTTTATTTAAACAATTATAAAGATCTTTTCTAATACTTCTTAAATGACTTTGAGGTTAATTTTCAACACACATTTTTTTATGATTAAAATTTCAAATTATTCTTACTCAACAGAAAATTTAATGAAATTTTGAAACAATTACTATTATTATACAACTGTTTATCCATTTTTTTTAATATAGAATAGGTGTTATTCAATTATCTTATAATTTGAAATATGTACCATAAATAGAAATCAAAACTAAAATTTCCTTTTATTACTTAGCTATTAGGTGTATTATGGATTGAAAGTGTTTGATTTTTAGAGAGAGAAAATAATTAGCAAAAATTTTTAATGATCTAAATTTAGTACATAGATGGATATATTTTTGATATATTGTATAGTTGGTTAAAATACTGAAGTAAATGAATTCTGTTTATGATGGAATTAAATGAGTAACATCAAAAAACAGAATAAAATAGAAGAGTTCTAATATTAGGGTTTGCAGTTTGAAGAATCTAAAGTTAAATGAATATTTCATATAGTATTATTTAATAATATTGTTAAATAAAAGAATTATATTAGTACGTGTTTTGGTATCATTCTTCCTTTTTCATCATTGTGAAAAATTCATTTAATGAAATTTGTCCATCAGAATTGGAATCAAAATCTTGTACCACTTATTTCCACATATCTTCTGAGATACCATTAAATATTTCTTTCAATTCATCTACACTAATCGAACCACTTTTATCCTATATTATATAATATTTTACTTTATCAAGCATTCTAAATGTCATCTATAACCTTTATTTAGATAATAATTATTATCTATCAATAGTGGCAATAACAAACTCTACTCATATAAATTATCACCATAAGTACCAGTATAATCTATTGAACCAGAATTATTTTTATCAACTTATAAAAAAATACGATTGACTTCTTCTACTGCTTCAACTGGTTTCATAATCTTAGAGTATCCTGTCAATAATTCCTCTTTACTTAATTTACCATCTTGATTGGTATCAAGATATTAAAAAGTTTTTAGTAATTCTGTCTTTTCCTATTTTGTAGCTAATTGATTCACAATAAATTTAACAATAGATTCTTGCAATTTTTATTGAGTTGTAAATTTCTTCAAATTTTTTAATACTTTTGTCATTAATGGTTTATCAATTTCAAGAGGATTATTAAACTTCTTAATCCAAGGATCTGATAAGGCTTATTGAGCATTTAACCTTTTGCCTAAGAATCTATAACACTGAACTACTTGGATCCAATTCTAACAGCTTTCTAATGTAATTTTTAGCTTCTATAGAAACATCTTCCCATTCTTAAGAATCAAAAGAATAAACTCCTTAAGAAATCTTTTCCATTATTTTATCTTCAGTTTTACTATCAAATGGAGGATAACTTAATAATATATATATTTATATTACCCACATAGAAGTATATATAAAATTACACCACAAGACCAGAGATNTTATGGATTGAAAGTGTTTGATTTTTAGAGAGAGAAAATAATTAGCAAAAATTTTTAATGATCTAAATTTAGTACATAGATGGATATATTTTTGATATATTGTATAGTTGGTTAAAATACTGAAGTAAATGAATTCTGTTTATGATGGAATTAAATGAGTAACATCAAAAAACAGAATAAAATAGAAGAGTTCTAATATTAGGGTTTGCAGTTTGAAGAATCTAAAGTTAAATGAATATTTCATATAGTATTATTTAATAATATTGTTAAATAAAAGAATTATATTAGTACGTGTTTTGGTATCATTCTTCCTTTTTCATCATTGTGAAAAATTCATTTAATGAAATTTGTCCATCAGAATTGGAATCAAAATCTTGTACCACTTATTTCCACATATCTTCTGAGATACCATTAAATATTTCTTTCAATTCATCTACACTAATCGAACCACTTTTATCCTATATTATATAATATTTTACTTTATCAAGCATTCTAAATGTCATCTATAACCTTTATTTAGATAATAATTATTATCTATCAATAGTGGCAATAACAAACTCTACTCATATAAATTATCACCATAAGTACCAGTATAATCTATTGAACCAGAATTATTTTTATCAACTTATAAAAAAATACGATTGACTTCTTCTACTGCTTCAACTGGTTTCATAATCTTAGAGTATCCTGTCAATAATTCCTCTTTACTTAATTTACCATCTTGATTGGTATCAAGATATTAAAAAGTTTTTAGTAATTCTGTCTTTTCCTATTTTGTAGCTAATTGATTCACAATAAATTTAACAATAGATTCTTGCAATTTTTATTGAGTTGTAAATTTCTTCAAATTTTTTAATACTTTTGTCATTAATGGTTTATCAATTTCAAGAGGATTATTAAACTTCTTAATCCAAGGATCTGATAAGGCTTATTGAGCATTTAACCTTTTGCCTAAGAATCTATAACACTGAACTACTTGGATCCAATTCTAACAGCTTTCTAATGTAATTTTTAGCTTCTATAGAAACATCTTCCCATTCTTAAGAATCAAAAGAATAAACTCCTTAAGAAATCTTTTCCATTATTTTATCTTCAGTTTTACTATCAAATGGAGGATAACTTAATAATATATATATTTATATTACCCACATAGAAGTATATATAAAATTACACCACAAGACCAGAGATCACATTTTTCATCATATTATTTTTTTAAGATTTCAGGTGCTATGTAATATGGAGTTCCTAATTTTTAATTTAATTTTTAATTGGGAACAAACTCTTTTGAAGTACCAAAATCAATAATTTTGAGTAAAGAATTTTCTTCTTCTGATTCATACATTAAATTCTCAAACTTTAAATCTCTTTTTTAACATATTTATTATAATACCTATGTACAATCTTTTATTCATGACAATAATTAACTGCAGATAATATTTATTTCATTATTTCAGCAGCTTTCTTTTCAGAAAAACTCCCCTCTGCTCTAATTTTATCAAACAGTTCTCCTCCTGTACATAATTCTGTTACTATATAGAAGAATCTATCATCTTAATAAAATTCGTATATCTATATAATGTTTGGATGATCCTTTAATATGATTATATTATAATATGATACTAATTTTTACAGTATTTCAACTTCATTCATTAACCTTTCTTGTTCTTATTTAGTTGTTTAAGATTTATGAATTATTTTAACAGCCCTCAATAAATTAGTGCTTTTATGTATTGCTTTACGCACTTCCCCATAAGCTCCTTGAATTATAATTAGTATTTATATATACCATTTCCTAATGGAGGATTTAAGAGTGTATAATCCTTTGTTATTCTTCCCAATTTCTCATTTGTTATAATTAGATTTCCAATATCTGATGAAACTATTTAACATTATTCCCATGAATACTATCGTTTAATTGATATTTTTAAGGAGTAATATTGTCTGTATTTGATTGGTTCTATTAGTTCTTTAAAGATGATTCATTTTAAGGACGTTTTCCTGAACAAATACCCATAAATTATTATTTTTAATTAAATAAAAATTGGAACTTGTACTCAAACCAATAATGAAATTCTTCAAAAGAAATACTTTATTAAGGTTGGTTATGTATTTTCTATAATGTTCCTATGCATTCCCATCCTGATATTGATAGTCTTATCAATATTAAATTGAATTCTTGTAAAATTACAGATAGAGGATTAAGCAAAACCTTAATTGAAGAAATTGTGTTATTTCTAAATTCTTATAAGATTAGAACTACAGAACAAGATGAATTAATCAATCATTCCAGTTATGTTTATACATAATCTTTAAAGAAATTTAATCAAATTTGGAACCATTCTAGGCAAAATCATACTATTAGTATTATATTTAATATATATATAAGACTTCAATTAAAGTAATATTATGTTTTAAGTCTCTTTAAATGGGGGATTTAATTCCTGTTAATTTTTGGTGGGTCTAAGAACATTTTAAAAAATGATATACAGATTATTGAATGAACAATAAGGTGTAGAATATGATAATTTTTTGGAAATGAATTTCTTGACTAAATTTCTCTAAGTTCTCAAAGAACTAAAAAAAAATAACTTTGAATTAAATCAGTATATTCTCTTGATTAGGCAGAATCGATCAGATATTCTAATACATTCAGCTAGAACTGTAGATAACTCAAGAACTTAATATAAAAGATTAAAATCAATATGACTACTACCTCAATTTCTAATGAATATAACAAATATTTTGAAAATATCTTGTTATTATATTTGAAATACAATAATCTCAAGTCTTTAAACTAATTAAATATCTTATCAATTAATATATATATTTATTTTAAGGATGATCCAATTTGTAGATATATGAAAAATAAATCTATTTTTTGTTTTATTATAGTTAAATTATTTTGATAAATGAGAGACACAATGATATATGTATATCTATTTTGTTAATTTTTATTTAAATTAAAATATTAATGATTTAAAGTAATACATATTAGCAATTTGAGGCATAAATGTAGTCTTCTCAAGGATTTAAAAATGAAAAACCTATGTAATCATTTTTATATTCATCTTCATAGGAATGAATAAATTGAAGAATTGATGGATCACTTAGATCATGAACATGATAGTGAAGATGAGGGTATGGAAGATTACAAAATAGGAGGTGATATATAGTAAGTATTATTTAGGATATCATCCAGTTCATGTAGGAGAAGTCTTACTAAATCGATATGTGGTTATATAAAAGTTAGGATGGGGTCACTTCTCTACTGTGTGGTTGGCTAAGGATTTTAAATATGATACTTATGTGGCTTTAAAAATTTAAAAGAGTGCATCTCATTATTTAGAAGCTGCATATGATGAAGTAAAAGAAACTATTCAATATTTTTAGGTTGAAATTCTGTAAAAAGTTGCTTAGAATGTATAGAATCCAGTTTGGATTTAATCACTGAAGGAATATTATGCAGATGTATTAGTTTATTTGATATTTATTAACAGTAAGGAAGAACTTCATTTAACAGAGATGATACACACACTGTTTAATTATTAAATTCTTTTGTATACAAAGGACCTTATGGTCATCATTTTTGTATGGTATTTGAAATATTGGGAGTCAATCTATTAGAAGTTATAAAAAGATTTGAATATAAAGGAGTAATATAATAAAATATCATGGTTAGTGTCCTATGGATATTGCTAGAAGAATGGCTAAATAGATTTTAATTGGATTAGATTATTTACATAGAATTTGTGGTGTCATCCATACAGATTTAAAACCAGAGAATGTTCTATTATGTTTGTCTGATGAAGAGATTAAAGATATAGTAGAAAATGGATAATTGACATCAAATTAACTATTTTCAGATAGAATTCATATCTATAGATAAATGTTAGGAATAGTAGAAGAAAAACCAGTAGTTGATGACAAAAAGACTGTTTAAAAATAAGAGGAAGATGATTTAGATACTTAATCTACAAATTTAACAAAGACTTAAAAAAGAAAATTATTAAGAAAGAAAAAATAATAATAATAATAACAATAATAATAAAATGAATTTATAAATGTAGAAAATGAATAAACAGAACCAGAAAAACCTAAATCAATAAAAGAATTGTTTTAATAGCAAAAAAAGTATTGATTTAATTAAATGATAGGATTTCATTTACTTAACAAAAGAAATTGCCAGACAATTTTCGTTTGAAAATAGCTGATCTTGGCAATGCTTGTTGGATACATCATCATTTTTCAACATTAATATAGACAAGATAGTATAGATCTCCTGAAGTTTTGTTGGGAATTAAATATAATCCTACTGCAGATATTTGGAGTTTTGCTTGCATGATATTTGAAATGCTTACAGGAGATTATTTATTTGAACCTAGACAAGGTCCAAACTTTTCAAAAAATGAAGATCATTTAGCCTAAATACAAGAGCTGTTAGGTAAATTCCCTTATGAATATTGTACTAGAGGTGCAAAAGCTAAAGTAATTTAATAAAAGATTATTATTTTAGAGGTATTTTATGAATAATGGATAAATGAAACGAATTCCATAATTGCATTTTTGGAGTTTATTCAATGTTTTAACAGAGAAATATAGATTCAAATAAGAAGAAGCTTTATCATTTGCTTCGTTTATGATGCCTATGTTACATTAATTACCAGAATATAGAACTACTGCTTAAGAAGTGCTGAAGAGAGAATTATGTTCCAATAATTTAGATGATTTCCAAAGAAGAGCTTAGTTGAAGAAATATATAGATCAAATATTTGCATATTAGAATTTCCGAAATAATATTCCAAATTCTGGTTGGTTATAGGCCAAGACAGATTCATAAATTGGACATAAGATGAATGATGAGGAATTTTAAAAATATAACAAATAAAAGAAAGCAAATGAAGAAGTGGAACAATTTGATTAGAATATTGAAGGAATTTAACCAACCTTATTGTCAAATTATAGAAGAGTATAAAGAATAATTTATTGATTAGGCATCAACTAGGTCTTATGATGGATCGATTTCGTAAACTCCATAACAAGACAAAGTGATTAGAAAAGAGGGAAAATATGTGGATCATAGAGTGATTGATAGATCATTTACAGATTTAGGATATATAGGTTATGGAGATGGAATAGATTTAGAATAATTAGACAGTACAGGAAATTGGTAGTTTAGTTGAATTATTGTACATGTTAAGTATGTAATATTCTTGAATGATTTTATAATGTAATGGTTTATTTCATTGATTGTGATGACCTTCAAATGCTCTGATATTATGGGCAGTATTGATCACAAAGTTGGATGTGTCAATCACATAACCTTTGGTTGCTGCTTCAAATAATTCAGGATGATGAACTATTCCTTCCTATTCCCATTTATAATTCAAATACTTTCATGAAATAAATAACTTCATCTTAAACTGTTGTACCCAATTCTTGGATATGATCAAGTTGGCATGCTAATTCATACTTTAATTGTCCTTCTTCTGTCAAAAAATCTGCATTGTCACGATCATCAAATTTTGTGAAATCAGCTGTTAATGGATGTGATTAATATGTTTCAAACCAATAAGTGTTTTTATCATTAGCTAGAGTATTTGTCTCCATCTTTAATATTTTACCACCTCTAAGTAAAGAGAGTCTTTGTATTTTATATTACAAGGATCTCCAATACCTATGAAAAATGGAAAGATTTATTACCACATTCTTGGAATCCACAAAAATGAAGGTGCATAAATGAAAAGGTTGTTCCAATACCATGCAATGTCTAATGGGTTCTTAAACCAAAGATAAATGGACAATGGAATGGCTGTCTCATAAAGTACATATGGATATTTAAGGAATATAGTAAGATGTTTATGGGGATCACAAGAGTAACTAATGATTAGTGAGTGAGTTACAGCAACACTTCTCCTATTCTATCAAACTCAATGGTATATGTTGGTTTGTAAATTCGATCAGTTTTAACAAGATATGAGGATTCATCATTCATGACCTAAGCTTTATGTGCCACAGTGGCATTATGGAAATTTTTGATGTGGTTGAGTTGATAGAGATTCTTCAAGCCCAACCTCAAAGTGTTTATTGATCTGGTGAGCATTAATTAAAGATATTATTAATTATGTTTAAGTTTAGCGACAAGAGAATGGAATATGAGGAATAAATGCTTGAAGAAAATTAAGATGAACTTCCTCCAAATATTTAGTATAAGCGCATTGATCGATATAACTATGTACTCTAAATAAGAGGTGAAAAAGGTAGTGTACATGAGGGTAGAATATTTAATTAAATATAGATGCATATATTATAGCAGATGTTAGTCTATAAGGTTTCCCAGTTGAAGCTCCATCTATTAATTTTCGTAATAATTTTTAACATGTGAACATTTTTCCTATGGGCAAGCTGTGTTTGTACTTGATTAATAAAGAAACTTGGATTTCTAGTACTAGTTTGATAGATGTTTTTTCAGGAGTCAATCAAGTCATACATCAGTATTGAATAGAATTATAAATGTAAGTCCTACCTTTAATGATCCTGCAAATAGTTCTTTTAAGGAGCCAGATGTTTATGAAAAAGATATGAAAGAATAAGCAAAAAAATTTAGAGATGAGAAATATAAAATAATCTGAAATTAAATCGTTTTTGAAATGTGTCGTTTTTTATTTAATAAATAAATGAAAGGAATCATCGCTATCATTCTTGCATTGGCTGTGGTCTCAAATGCCACAAGCACAAAAGATTAAATCTTAGCTCTCCTATAAACAGGAACAAAGGCCAGTGATGCCATTGACACAGTCTTTGGATTGCTTAACGATTTAAAGTAATCAAACATCGATGCTCAATTTGCAGCTGACCAAAAGAACGAAACAGACGAATGGATTGGTGCTTAAACCATTGAATAATTCACAAAAATTAAGACTCTTAACCAAAAATTGTTCCAATAAGCTGTTGAAAACAGAGCTGAGTATGAAAACGTACTTCAATAAACCAAAAATTATTTGGCATGGAATGAAGCTAGAAGAGACTCAATTGCTGCTAAAATTGATACACTCTAAGACAACCAATGCTTCTCCAACCAATTGTTTGTTAAGTCCATCAAACACAACTAAGAAGCTTTGGAAGTGATTAGACTCCTTAAATAAGATGTTGCTGGATACATCGTTAATGGAGATTCCTTTGAATTCACCTAAGTCTAAGCTTAATCAGTTGCTGAAAAATTGAAATAATATAGCAACCTCTTCTAAGAACATTAAATCAAGTCCTTCTTAGCACTTGCTTAAGATGAATAAGTATTTATTTAAATGATATATCAATTAGGCTTCTGAATCTTCTGGACATGGATAAACATTAGCTGAAAGAGTCTTGGGAGTACTTGAAGGCTTAGAAAGTGAATTAGCTGCCTCATTAGAAAATTTGAAATAAAACGAAATCAATGCCTCATGGGAATTGGCTGGTTGGGTATCCTTATCAGAAGCAGAAATTGCCTCATTGGAAGTTGAATATGAAAGAAAATAAGTCTTTGCTGACAGAACTGCCACTGTAAGATTTTTAATATTAATCTTTATAGTAAATCCAAGCTGCCTTAGCTTAATAAGCTAAATCAAAGATTATCTTATAAGAATCATAAGATGCTTTAGATTAAGCATAATCTGATTTGGAAGCCAAGAGAGCTGATTATGAAGAAGCCAAAGCTAAAAGATAAGAGGAGAATGCCATCTTGGATGAAGTAATCATCATGTTCAAGAAATAAGTTGCCTCATGGTCCGGAAGATGATATTCTTTTTAAATACAAAATTAGTCAATAATAAAAACATCACTAATATTAAAGTTATTCCTTCTTCTCTGTTTTAGTGAGAGTACGCTTTTAGAATTATTAACTCTATTAATTAAAACTGTTTTAATAGAATAGAACATCATCATCATCCATATCATCATCTTCTTCAGGATTTGTAAACCTATTCTTAATATATTTATATCTTACATATTGTTATCATGATTAAAAGTGATAACCTAATCATCTTCCTCATTATAATCTTAATACCTTTTTTAATGAGTGGTTTTTTACATAAGTTTTTCCAAACCTTAACTAAGAGAGCTTAATAATTATTCTTTTGAAGATAACTTATTTTCAGCCTGAGTTTCTTTTACAATAGATTAAGGAATGCTTTCCTTAGTATCAATATCAATGGCTAATTTCTTTGGTAATTATTGAGATTAATCTGATTATTGCTTTTTTTGTAATGAACTATTGGATGATGATCCAGAAAGTATGTCTAACTACTTTTATTTAACCTCTTAAACATTTATTTGTTATTACTTGGATGAATTAATAGGTTTCATTAAATCTTCCATTATCCTCTATTTATCTTCTTTACTCATAAGTTAATTTGATTGTTTTTTCATCATCATTTCTTTTTCTTCAGCATATAAATCCTATAAAGGTTAATGCATAGGTTATTGATTTTAATAATGTGAATTTATTTGAGCCATATTCCAATCTACATATTATTGTTCAATTTATGATTTTCTATTTTACAACATTTTTTCATATTCTAAAATTGCTTATTTATCTAAGTCTTTTCTTGAGATACAAAAATTATCAAAGAATTGTAATTCTACTTCATTTTATTATTATTCTAATTATTTTATTTATTCATCATCAAAATTTACAGATAGTAGTTTTCTTAAAAAGATATTCTAAGTCTCTAATTCAATTTATTATGCTTATATTTCTTACCATTATTATTCTTCCTATATTGTATGTTCTTCAATAATTTTAATCATTTGATGATATTTGTCTCTTATTTATAATATGCATTCATTTTTCTTTGCAAGTTCAGCATCCTTAATTCTTAATTTTAATTATAAATGTTCAATACTATTTAAATGATCTTAGCATGTTTATTATTTAAGTTTCTTAATCATTTTACCCATCTTTTTAATTAGGTACATACATTCTTTATTATTTTCATATAAAATCTTATTATCTTAACAAAATTGATCTATTTTTTCTTTTTATTATTCAATCATCATTATATCTGATGGTCTTATTGGAAGTGTAGTAATTTCTTTTGATTTTCTTTGTTCTTATTTCTTTGTGATATAGACAGCTCTTCTCTGCTTTGGTATTTATCTGGAAGTTGTTGAATCATCATACTTAAGGGATTCCTCAGTTATTTATGCTTTTGAATTTTATTTATCAATTTCTTATAATCTATCTATTGTTTAAGATGGAATAACTGTTTATTCACATTGTCTAACTTATTGGAGTTAGATAAAAAATTATTTGATAAGTTCATATTTTTAAATAAAGGCAGGTTGTTAAGGGTATTCGTATAACATAATTCAATTTAAAATTTAATTAATAAGTAGAAAAAAAATAACAAAAAATCAATGTTTCTGTAATTATAAGGCTATTAATTGCATTCCTTATGAATCTGTATATACTTTTTATGTTTTTGAATCATTGTCGATGTAGGTGCAAATTTCATTTTAACAAAAGTGACATTTTGGCTTTTAAAATTCTAAGGCACATATATGGCATATCTAATTAATACAACAACATGATGATAAGATATCTAAAATTTTTAATACATCAAATATACAATTAAAATATCTGAAACATATTGGACATGAAAATTATGTAATTTATGTAAGTGTCTCACTAATTAACAAATCTTTAAGTTGATGCTATGTTTTTATCTTTTTAGCCTTATCTTGATAAAAACCATCCATAAATTATAATGAATATAATGTAAGATCCTTTTTATTTGATTTCAAATATTCACAAAATGTAGTTGTTATAATATATGTGTTTGGTGCTGTTTTTGGTTCTTAGATGTCAGACTGTGTTCCACAACAAAAATACTTTTAAAAAAAAGAAACCTTTCTATTCTTAGCCATTTTAGTAGTAAAAAAATTAAAAATGATTTTTAATGGTAATCAATTAGCCAATTCAATATTATAAACTCTTCGTGTTACTTCAAAAATAAAGCCAAAATTAGGAATTTGTTTAGTAGGAGATTCACCTGCATCTAAATCATATGTTAATAGGAAATTAAAAGCTTGTTAGGAAATTAATGTTGATGCAGAAGTATTTAATTTTTCAGAAAATGTTGAATAAGATTAATTGATTAAACATATCTAATAAATGAATCATGATGGAATATTAGTGTAAGTATTTTAATAAATAAAAATATTAATAGTTACCATTACCATTACATCTGAATAAGTTGGATATCATTCATTCAATTCCATATGAAAAAGATGTGGACTGTTTACATATGCATAATTTATAAAGAATTTTAGTTTATGGAGAATTATGTGAGATGTTACCATGTACTCCTGCAGCAGTATTATAAATTTTGGATTATTATGATGTGAATGTAATTGGCAAGAAAGTTACAGTTATAGGTAGAAGTTTCTTAGTTGGATTACCATTATCATTGTTATTACAAAAAAGAAATGCTACAGTAACTGTTTGTCATAGAGAAACATTAAATTTAGATTAACATATTATGAATGCAGATATTGTTATAAGTGCAGCTGGACATCCAAAATTAGTTAGAAATGTTAAATAAGGAGCTATAGTAATTGATGTTGGAATCTCATAAGGTGAAAAGAAAGGTAGAATTGTTGGTGATGTTGATATTGATGTTGTTAAAAATTAGGCATCACTTATTACTCCTGTTCCTGGAGGAGTTGGACCAATGACAGTATGTATGTTAATGAGAAATCTGTGTAATATTTGGAAGAAGAAATAAGGATAGCCTGTTTACATCAATCCGAAATTGAGTGATGCTTATTTGAATGATTGATTAAAATTAATATGAGTAAAAATGATAAAAATCAAAAGTTGACTGCTTATGAAAGTTATAAGAAAATAGAATCTGAAATCAAATTTCAAACTAATCTCTTAGAGAAATCAAATCCAACTATCAGGTGTCCAATACATTAATATAATTACTCCAAAACTTGTAGGTAGTACCAAAATTTGAATCATTAGATAATGTAAGAAAATTGTTGTAGAAGAAGTACCAACATATTAAGAAAAATCAATTAATATGGACAAATATCATTATGATGTTGGAGATAGAGGAGATAATATAATACCAATGTATTTGTGAAAATTTAATGAAAGTCGAGGAGAAAATGCTATTAGCAATATGAATTCATTAGTTAGATAAAATATACTAACATGTCAATATTATAAAGAATTACTATAGATTAGAGATATTAATGATATNCAAAAATAAAGCCAAAATTAGGAATTTGTTTAGTAGGAGATTCACCTGCATCAAAATCATATGTTAATAGGAAATTAAAAGCTTGTTAGGAAATTAATATTGATGCAGAATTATTTAATTTTTCAGAGAATGTTGAATAAGATTAATTGATTAAACATATCTAATCAATGAATCATGATGGTATATTAGTGTAAGTATTTTAATATATAAAAATATTAATAGTTACCATTACCATTACATCTGAATAAGTTGGATATCATTCATTCAATTCCTTATGAAAAAGATGTGGATTGTTTACATATGCATAATTTATAAAGAATTTTAGTTTATGGAGAATTATGTGAGATGTTACCATGTACTCCTGCAGCAGTATTATAAATTTTGGATTATTATGATGTGAATGTAATTGGCAAGAAAGTTACAGTTATAGGTAGAAGTTTCTTAGTTGGATTACCATTATCATTGTTATTACAAAAAAGAAATGCTACAGTAACTGTTTGTCATAGGGAAACATTAAATTTAGATTAACATATTATGAATGCAGATATTGTTATAAGTGCAGCTGGACATCCAAAATTAGTTAGAAATGTTAAATAAGGAGCTATAGTAATTGATGTTGGAATCTCATAAGGTGAAAAGAAAGGTAGAATTGTTGGTGATGTTGATATTGATGTTGTTAAAAATTAGGCATCACTTATTACTCCTGTTCCTGGAGGAGTTGGACCAATGACAGTATGTATGTTAATGAGAAATCTGTGTAATATTTGGAAGAAGAAATAAGGATAGCCTGTTTACATCAATCCGAAATTGAGTGATGCTTATTTGAATGATTGATTAAAATTAATATGAGTAAAAATGATAAAAATCAAAAGTTGACTGCTTATGAAAGTTATAAGAAAATAGAATCTGAAATCAAATTTCAAACTAATCTCTTAGAGAAATCAAATCCAACTATCAGGTGTCCAATACATTAATATAATTACTCCAAAACTTGTAGGTAGTACCAAAATTTGAATCATTAGATAATGTAAGAAAATTGTTGTAGAAGAAGTACCAACATATTAAGAAAAATCAATTAATATGGACAAATATCATTATGATGTTGGAGATAGAGGAGATAATATAATACCAATGTATTTGTGAAAATTTAATGAAAGTCGAGGAGAAAATGCTATCAGCAATATGAATTCATTAGTTAGATAAAATATACTAACATGTCAATATTACAAAGAATTACTATAGATTAGAGATATTAATGATATTGTCACAGAGACTGATAAAATTGTTACTTCTGTTGGTACTTGGGCAGGTCCAGGAGTACCATCATCTTTCTTTTGTATATTACATAAATTAATGAGTATGAATTTGAATGGTATATATTGATTAAATAAATATATTAGTAAAATAATTACAAATTTTATGTGATTGGAAATTAAATCCATATGTTAGATGTTTAGGATTATTATATTTAAGATATTCATTAGATCCAAATTTTTTATGGGGATGGATGAAGAGATATATTTTAGATGAATAAGGTATATAAATTGTATTTAATATTAGAATTTAAACCTTCTAAAGATGAAACTATTACTATTGGAGATTATTGTGAAAGATTACTCACTGACTTAAATTATTATAATACTCGATTACCTCGTATTCCATAATAGATTGATACTATCATATAAGCTAAAATATTACTGGCTTAAGAAAAGAGATAAAGAAGAAATATTAATTAAAGAATTATGCCACTTTTATAACCAGGTGTGTCAGTTAGAGCAATTTCATAAAAAGATGATGAATGGCATGTTGGTAAAATAGAAAATATTGATGGAACATTTCTTATTATTTAATTTGAAGAAGAAAAAGAAAGAATAAGTTTAGGTGAAATTGAATTTATACCTAAGAATGATGAATAAAGATTATATATAGCATAAATGATTACTGAAGGAATGTAAGAAGGTTAAATTTAATTACCATAAGAAGTTATATCATAAAAATCACCTTCCAAATCTAAATCTAAAAAGAAAAAAAGATCAAGTTCTACTAGTAGTGAATCTAGTAGTAGTAGAAGTAAAAGTAGACATAGGAGTCACAAGAAAAAGAAAAATAAACATAAATCATAAAAAGAACATAAAAAAAAGAAAGATAAAAAGAAAGAAAAGGAAAGAGAAAAATTAAAATAAAAAAAAGATAAAGATAGAGAAAGAGAAAAAGATAAAGAAAGAGATAAAGAAAAAGAAAGATAAAGATCTAATAGTCCAGAACTTGGTTAATATGAAACAAATAAAGAAAGATAGGAAAGATTAGAAAAAGAAATTAGAAGAAAATAAATGGACAAAGCAGTTGCACATTCTAAATAAGATGTTGCAAAAATACCTGCCTCATATAAAACCTCTTTGGCTGCTGCATTACCAACTTCAACAAAACCAGTTAGACAAAGTAGTCCATCCCCTATTAAAAAAAAGGAATAATTTATTGAATTAGGAAATTCAGATAATAACAATACTAAATTTGAAAAAGAATCAAAAACAGATGTAATATTTTAATATTATTTATAGTAAAATAATCCATTTTTAAAAGAATTAATTAAAAAATATGGTGATGATGATGTGTGACTATTTTTTATTAAGTTTATAATATACCAATTAATAATTACAAATATATTTCATATACTTATCTTTCTAGAACAATTTTTTAATATTAAATTTAATAGAATATTCTAGAATACATAATAATAACCTTTAAATTATAAATATTATTTATTCTAATATAATAAATTAAGAAATGGATTGGACTGGATTACTTGCTTGGTCAATAAATTAAAAAAATGGAGAGAAATTTGATACTTCAATAAAACCAATGGATGAAGAGACTAAAAAATGGTTAACTGAAGCATTATAAAGTTATTCTGTTGATGAATTTTAAATGATTAAAGACTTGTTAGATAAAATAGCTAAACCAGAATAAGAGAATGAAGAAGAATAACGTTTAGAATGGTTTGAATAATTAATGGAATTATTAGATGCTTTAGATAGGGCTAATGATTTTTGTAAAATTGGTGGGTTGAATCTAATGTTCAATTATTATTAAACTACCAAATTTGATTCTATAAAATTGTAAGCACTAAAAATAATTGCAAATTGTAATCAAAATAATGCCTTTGTTTAAGAGTATTGTGGAGAAAATGATTATCTTAAAATAGTAAATGAAATAGAGAAAATTGATAATTTAAAATTAAAAGAACAAGTTATAAGTGCACTTTCTAGTATGATAAGAGGAGAATGCTTAAATAATAAAAGAAAGTTTATAGATATGAATGGAATACAACTGTTATTAAATCATTTAGACTCAAATAGATGTATTGAGAAGATTGCAAATTTATTTAGAGATCTATTATATTATGATGATTAATTACATAAAACTTATCATGATTTATCAAAATTTTCAAATACAGCTGGATAAACAATAAAATAGCAAGATAAAAAGAATTATAATCTAACAACAGATATAAATGAAGAATTACTTAAATCTAATGAATTACCTTAAAATCTAAAGTATAAAGGAATTGTTAAAAACATATTAATTGATTTGAAATTCCTTAGTTATGCAAATAAATTCATATTTGATACTTCTATTAAAAATTCTGATCTTAGAATATAATATTTATCATGTTCAGAAATATTGTTAAAAATTAAAAATGATTAGGAATTTAAATAAATTATATAAACTCATTTAGAACATCTTTTAAAGGAACAAGATTAAGATGAAGGAGAAATAAATTTATGTAAATAAATATTGTGATTTTATTATTAATTTTTGTAAATATATATATGAAAACTATTTAGTCATTGTCATAAATAATGATATTTGCAAAAGAATTAGAAAAAACTTCTATTCTTTACTCTGTTTGTTTTGGTTTGAAGATTACTTTGATGAGTGATACATATTTGGAATTACAGGATTCAAGGAAATTTAAAATTTGTTTTTATCGAGTCAATAAGTTTAATTTTGTATAATTATTAGTTTTGCCTAACAAACTAAAGGATATAGTCCAATATTATCTTTTAAGGTATCTGAGTTTGATGAAACTCTAAAAAAATTAATTCATTATGGAGCTCAATAAGAACAGAATATATTAGAATAAAATAATTAAAAAGTAATTATTAATAAAATTAATTGATAGCTTTTTTGTAAGGAATAAATGGTGAAATGATAAGTTTAATTTCTACTCATCATACTGACTCTAGTGATGAAGATGAAGAATAAGGGCAATAATCTGAATTAGAAATAGAAATACAATAAATGTTAAAAAAAATTAAGTTATGATGAAAAAATTGTTAAAGAATTAGTTTTACATAATAAAAGCAGTCATTAATATTTTAGATAATTTATATATATATATATTTATATTAGTTTTGATTAAATCTTATTGTAACCATTAAAAATCTCATTAATCAAACCAAAAGTTAAAAATAAGCTTCACTAATTATTCTTATGGATAATAATCATCTATTTAATTTCATATAGTATTTTGGTTTTCAATATAATAAGAAACCTATCAATAATGAAACAGAACAATCAGAAGGTTAAGGAAAATTAAATCATTCTTTGCTGATTCTTCACATCTATTATATATTAGTATTATAAAGTAAATTATCCTTTTAATTATTCAGATAAGCAAGTTTAAAAATTCAAATTCCATCTACTAAACAAAGAACTTGGACCTAATAATCATTGTTTTAATATTGAATAAGTTGAATTAAGCAAATTTGAAGCTAGACAATAGTAATTTTTCATCTGTTAGATATTTTAAATTGATTTGCTTGATATCAGGGAATTACATTTGATAAAATTTACTTTGATTGTTAATAATAGTTATAAGTAAGTAATGAGTCTAAAGGATTGTTAGAATCTACCAATTTATCAAGTCTTGAATAATAAACAGTACATAATTTCTAATTTCTAGAATGATGATTAATCAAATATATTAATAAGATAATATGAAGGATTGTAGATATATTTTGTTTTCTGATTGTATTCTCTCTCATGATGATCAGATATATAAGAATTTTTATTAGAGAATTGATTGAGGAATTTGAGAGGTTTAATAAAAGGAAAATCATTAAGAATAACACATTTGAATGATATAATCAAGTTAAAGGATAAATAAACTGAATTACTAATTGTAAAGATGTTGGTTGGAACTCAAATGAAGATTATTCTTTTTTATGATAAATTTATCATTAATAAAAACAACTAATTCACTTTATATTTAGAGATTAACAGAAACTTATTATTATATTACAAGATCAAATTGATAATCTATATGAAATTCTAATATTATAGAATTTTTATTGGTGTCATGAAAATAACAATAATGAAATATTTATCTTGTTTTTAAGATAATATTACTGTTTGAAATCAAGAAAATCAGAAATATTTGCTTTTTATTAAGCTCCTTATAATTTATTGAAGAATCTTTAAGTAATATTATATATGCATCAGAAAATTTTAAAATTATTACAGATTAAATAATTTATTAATTATTATTATTAGATTCTAAATTATACTTAAAAGATAGTAATATAAAAATATATATCCTTAAATTGCATTTTGCATATATTTTACCAATGAGTGAAATGATAGATGTTTTTTTTTTTAAAAGAGGTAGATGATAAAAATAGAAAACCAAGAAATTATAAACTTCTTGTATCATGTAATTAAAAAATATTAATAATGTCAATTCAATAACTTAGCTTATAAATGAACTAATCTATGAAATCAGAGTTTAACTCAAAGTATATAAGTATTCAAGAAATTTCTGTCGGCCTAAAAATAGTGGTAATTTGATATATATTTAATGTAGGATCCTGTTAATAAAGTGATTTTAGTGTTTCAGTTTTGGAACAACTCCATTTTAATGGATTGGAATCACTTTTTCTAAGAATTTAATGTTGGGAATGTTAACAATCTATTTTTCATCATTGAATATGAAGAGTCTAAATTTTTTATATATGGAAGTGCCGAAGATTTATAATGTATATATAAATTCTGTGCTGGAAAGTATATTTTTAAAAAGGGAACATAAAATAAAACACTTGAAATTATTAAGGAGAAACATGATTATCAAGTAAGAAAATTGTAATTATTTACTAGTTGAAATCAATACTAGATTCTTCAAGATCAAAGAAGTACTATGAACATGTCATTTTGAGTCAAATGAATGATAACTTAGACTTGTCTTTTTATTCCTAAGTTACATTTGAAAGTGAGAAGATTTTTCCTTTAGAAATTTAAATTATACAAGACTTAAATATCACTTCTACACCTCATATGATATAAGTAGATGCACTATATCACGATGGAGTGTAATATTCTTACATTTATTAAAAAAAAGATTTAATAAAATTATCTGTATATTACAATCACACTCAATTAGATAACCCTTGTTTTCTGTCTCATGTTGCACACTAATTAACACAATGTAAATTATTACATTATAAACTTGATAGTATTGTTATCCTTAGATGAAAAGGGAATTATACATCCAAGTCTTGATTTAAAAAATCTTTACATCAATCCAAATTCATAAGATATAGTTCTGGCTTCCTATTATTAGGCTTATTATTAATTGAATAATGATGAAAGAAGAATGTAATTATTCTATCATTTTAATTTAGATGTGTAAATATTGGTTATTCTCCTCCTGAATACTTTTAGATTAATTAAAAACTAACAACTAAAGCTAATGTTTATCAAGTTGGCATTTCATTATTTTAATTGTACTTTATTCAATATCAAAAATAGATTACTTGGACACAATCCATTTGGTAAATCTTATGAAGAAATGATATTCAATCATACAAACAATAATCTTGATCTTAATTAACTTAATGCTTTTGATTCTGTTTTATGTGATTTCATTAAAAAATTACTCGTTTAGGATTCACTAAAACGACCATCACCTTAAGAATTACTAAAGCATAAGTTATTTTCACTATCCCATAAAGAATACTTGTCTAAATAGACTATGTCAAAACAATACCATAAAGATATCGAAGAATTTGTCATTTTTAGTTAGACATCAAATATCTAATCCGTAAAACAAACTCTAAAATTCAAAAAGAGATTATGATTTATAGTTTTATTTAGAAACAAAGTATTCAAATTTCATAATTCTTATGATTGTAGCATTCTCAAAATTTCAAATCTTTTTTATTATTATATATATTTAAATAAATAACTTCTTATATTTTTTCAATATTTTTCTTTACTCTAGATATCATTGAAAACAATTAAGCAATTCTTAAGGATTCTAAACTATCTAGATTTAAATTGTATAAAATTCTAGACTTTTTTATCTTTTAAAAATGAAATACTTTATTTATATTATATTTTACATTGAATAAAAAACTGTTAAGCAATAATCTTCTTAATCTTAAGGACATCAAAACATTATTTTTATTGAAATAATGAAAAATAGCTCCATAAAATTTTATATTGAATATGTATTCAATCTTCATTTATTTTATTCGCTTATAACAATGATACTTTCTTAAATTAAGGTTAGTTAGATAAAAGATCATAATTATTTCTTAATAATCATTTTTTTCTTTCTTTAATTTTTTTTTTGTATAACCTCATCAGCTGTAACTTTATTCAATAACTGTCTTAATTGTCTATAATAGTTTTCACCTCTCTTTTTCTAATATATCACCCTTAATATAATAACCTATAAATAATCAGGGCATATGTTTATATAAGTGTATATTCATTTAAGTTGTTTATATTTATTTTCAAATCTTGATATTTTTTCAAATTACATTCAGAATTCTAACTTAATATTCTAATATGCCCTTTAAGATTATAACATTAATCATCTTAGATTTAGAATATTATAATTTAAATATAGGAAAAAAGAAATCAGTTTATCAAATCTATTTGATTGAACAGCTAAACTATATTTTAGAATATGTTAAAATTTGATTAAAAAAATATTAATATTTTACAAAAAACTCCTAACTAGTTTAATATAACTTATATATGTTAGTCATATATTAATGTTTATAAATTATTCCCTTTCAAATTTGAGTATAAAATAATTATATATATATATATATTTATATTTTTTAAAATATTCTTAATCTTTAAGAATAGTAACACATCAATAAAAGGAATATTAATTGAGAATATAGAATTTTATTTAAAATCATAATGAATATTGATCTAATATAATTTGGCCCATTATTATATTTATAAAAAAAGTAATTAAATATAATTTTTCATAATATTTCTGTATTTAATTCAAAATATATAATTTTATAGGTGATAATAATATATTTATTATTAAATTACTCAAATGGATTGTTGATCTCAGCTTTGTTTTAAAAGTGAACAATAAATAATTAAAAAAATTAGTTACATTCATTGTGGAATATATATTTAATTAGATAATAACAATATATTTTTTGGTTGGTTGCTATTTTATTTGTTATTAAGTTTTTATATTAAAATGCAACAATTTAGAGATAATGACAATAATAGTGAAAATCTCAATGAGGAGGATAAGTAATGTAATAAATAGTATAACAAAAGCAGCTCCATCAATTAGCATGTACCTTAATTTCCTCCTAAAAAAGCACCATCATTTTCAATGGAAGGTCCATAAATTCTAGGGTTATTATTACAATTCAGATGTGCTTAAGGAAATGCAAGAAGAGAATTAGAATGTTAATTAATAAAAAGATTAGTTAACATTAAAAAGAATTATGAACCTATTTGTTATAGATTAAATGGAACTTGGGCTTTGAAATATACAAATTACCTTTATGAAAATTCAAATACTCTACCAGGTCCAATTGATAATACACCTTTATTATAAATAAAAGAGCCAATTCGAAATAGAGATTATTTTGTATTGACTGATACAGTTTGGAAATTTTTGTTAGAAGAATACGGAGGGGGTCCTGAACTCTTGGAAGAAAAGGTGCCTCCATCTCCAGTATCTGCTATTTCATCAACAACAGATAGAGCAAAATCAGCTGATATAAGCATGATGTCAAGTATATCATAATAAGAGATTCCATCAGAAATTCCAATTAAAGGGATGAAAAATGAGTTATTTTTTTGCTATATGCACTCAATCCTTTAGTGTTTGATGTGCATTTAGGAATTGAATCATTTTATATTAAACAGTATAAATAGACATAATGGGTAGAAAATGCTATATTGTCAAGGTTATAAGGAGATGCTATTATAAATGCGAGATGCTTAGAGTGACTATATTAAAATAAACAATTTGAGAACTACAATATGTAAGAAGTTCAATCCAAAGTATCAGCATGATGCATAAGAGTTTCTCTTATACTTGATATCAATGATGGAAGATGAAATTATAGAAGTAAATAAGGAGAATGAAAAAAAATAGTAACCAAAATTAGAGAATGTTGTAAAGAAGTATTTAAAAGGTTAGATAGTAAGTGAATTAATTTGTAAGAATTGTAAACATAAATCTGTAATTACAGAGGAATTTCTAACATTATCTTTAGCTTTGACAAAAGTATCTACAGTAAATCAATCTTTAGAAGAGTTTTTAAAAGATGAATTAATTTAAGATTATCAATGTGATAATTGTCATAAGAAAAAAATAGCAATTAAGAAAACAAGAATAACTAATTTACCTAGATATCTTATATTACACTTAAAAAGATTTAAATTTTTTCCTAAATAGACTAAAATAACTTAATAAATTAAATTTTCAATTGAATCTAATTTCTGTAATACAGAATACAAACTAATAGGAGTAATTGTTCATTCTGGTTCTTTAGAATAAGGACATTATTATTCATATGGTAGAAGATAACACAAATGGTGGTTATTTAATGATTAACGAATTAAATAAGCAAATAAAATAGATGTATAATAATAACAAAGTTACATTTTGTTTTATTAATAACTTTTTTGATTATATGAATTAATATTAAGAGTAATCCTTTTTTATATAATATAATTATTAAAGTAATTCTTTTTTAGTATTCTTATTTGAATTTTATTTGAATTGACAAAAAGGAATACTATATATTAATATCGACTAGATATTGTTAAAAACAAGCTAATTCTCGTAAGTATCTAAATAGAATTGAAAGTAAATTATAATCAGGTTGATCAGTTGTTACAAAAAAAGATGTTTAAGGATAGTCTAAGAATTTTAATAGATTCTGTAAAAATTATATATGATCAATTATACACATATCAATACAATTTAGTACAAGAATTTAAAAAAAAACTTAGAAATACTGTTAAGGTTGTTGTATTCAATATTAAAATACAGTAAAATTCCTTATAAAATCTTTTATGTATATATATTAATACAAAAAATGTTAAACTTCTAAAAAAAAGACATATTCCGAAATAGATAATAATTTAAAAGTCAAAAAGATTGATATCAAGATTTTGAATGAAATTATATTAGATGGTACTTTGAATTATAATGCAAAAGTAAATTAAATGTATAAGAATTGATTAAGAATAATCTAACATTCAAGTAAAATTGAAGACTATTAATAAAATGAAATAAATTTCAAGAGCTAAATAATTATTAAAAAAATTAATAAGAAAACATAAAAGAGAATGATGATATTTATTCGATTTAATTTTTATAATTCACAACTCTGTTTTATAATCTTAATGTTTCTTACAAAATTATACTAGATTATCTTAAAGACCATGTAAATTGTAATGAACAGTATCCCAATCAACTGTATACTCGTCTATAATTACTCGATCAACAATTTGCTTTAATTAAAGTGCATATTCTGGATTTTTGAATGTTAAATAATCAATTACTAATTTTCCTTACGTGGAATCCTAGTATGTAAATATAAATTAAGGATTAGGCTTAACTTCATATTCATATTAAAGATTAAAATCATCTAGCTTCAATATTGTTCCATTTTCTAGAAGATTAAATTAAACATTTGGAATAGCTTCTTCTAGATCATGACATTTCCATAATAAGATATTATTTGTTTATGGAATCACTGTTATGACACCTCTAAAAGTATATGCTGAATATTCCATTTAAGATATCACTTAGACATACTCTAAACCAGAGTATAGAGCATTAACAAATGGAATTAATAATAAAGTAAACATTAAAATTATTGAATTATATAAATATTTTAACAATGAAATATCGTAATAATATCACAATTTTTCTATAAAATTTCCATAATCCAAAAAGAATTATGCAAAACCTGGTAATTTAGCATTTCCACTAATAGCCAAGAAATTTGGAATTGTATAATAGAAATCTGTTTCTATATTTGGTAAGTTCTAAAATTATTTTAATGAATACTTCTTAAATTTGTTTTAAAATTGCTATTGCTTCTTCATCTTATATAACTGCATCTCCATCTTAAATCAATTTTTACATCTTTTTTCCAAAAAATCCATTTTATTTAATAAATTCAGGACATTCATCAGAACTCTTAAATTCTAAATCCACTTTAAAATTCTTAAACTTTAAAAACAAATTCATTGGAGGTTCATTTGCAGCATCAGGTTCAAGATTTTCAAGTACATTTTTTATTGTTTATGCAAAATCTTAAGCAACATCAAATTTCATAATAAATTTCAAACTTTTCATAACTACTGACATTAATCTATCACCTTTTTTTAAAAGTTCACCTGCAAATGTAAAATCTGTATTAGATGACAATAACATTTATATTGAATTTTCATTCTTTTCAGCAAATTCTTCTAAACCTAATATTATTTTAAATAAATCATATCTTTACCTTAAGCAAAGACCATATTAAATCCTTCTTTCATTTCTTCCAATTCATCAGGTTTTAATTAAAATGACAACCATAAAGTTGTTCCTTCACTATGACTCTTCATTACAATATTATCTTCTTAAAGATTTGAATTAAATTTCTCATTCAAAAATTTCTATAATTCTTAAGCCTTTCCATCTATTGTCTTTAAACCTAATACAAATCCCCATTCTGTATCCAAATTACCACCTGTTTATTTTTATAACTATTCTAATTGTTATGTTGCTGCTTATTTATTAATAAGAGCCTTCAAACTAAGATATATAAAAGTCTAATAATACCTCAAACTCAAAGCTCCTTCTCCCTCATAATATGGACCAACTTATACTGAGATATGTGATGAATTGATTGACATTTTTTGTAATTAATAAATTATCAAAATAGAATCAATTGATATTATACTTAATTATACATATATTTAATGACAATCCATTCATAACTTTATATTATATAAGAATAGCATAATTTGATCACATATAAAGTATCATACATAAAATTGATAGTATTTTACATGATGAAGAATTTGGATACACACTAATTGATTATGGAGATACTCCTATAATTTCTAAATTTCGAATGATTTCCTTTTCCTTTCCTTTCTAAACAACATACACTATTTAATCTTATCCTATTTTCTAATAAGCACTATCATAATAAGATAATTCTATTCTTCCACTATGCAACTTCATCAAATAGTTTTGCATTGGTTTATGCTTACTCATTCCTGAATCCTTAGCCACAATCTACAACATTACTCCTATAACCTTATATTTTGACAAATCAATCTAAGAACTACATTATAACAAACTCATTTGATAATGTGCCTAAATTATCATCCATAATTATCTGTTAACTCTTCTCATTCTCAAAATATCTTAAATACTTAAGTATTACAAGATGTTCAAAATAATATGTCTTGGTAAGATTTTAAACATAAAATTAATTATATCATTTCAATTAGCTATTCTATGCATACAACCAGATATTGTTTCATACCATTTCTAATTAATTAAATCAAATTATGCTCTCTCCAAATCTATTACTTAAATTTGATTAAATATATTTTAATAAGTCTATATATCCTTATAATCTCCTCTTAAGTCTAATAGTGAAACATACAATTTTTTTGTAAATCCTATCTCAACAGAATAAATTATAATCTCCAAACAACTAAAATGATATTTATTAAAATTACTCTTATTCTTCTCTCAAATTCATTGCTACATTAAATGAATCATCTTCCCAAGATTAAAAAAATACAATTGAATTATCATCTTAATCTCTTTCACTTAATATATCCTCTTTTTCTACTTAAATTGTTTCTGTTTTTTGTTACTCCTATTTCTATTATGTATTCTATCTTGATGTCTTCTATTATAATTATGCTAATAATTCTTGTTTCTATTTCAATAATTCAAATGCTTTAAAATTCATTCTTTTATATTCATCATACATTCTATTATAGTATTATTAACATTCTTATTAAGATTTAGTTCTAATTAAAATTGTATAAAATCATTACTATACTTTCCTAAAAGTTCAAAAACTTATGCAAAAAATTAATATCCCAAAAGTAAATGATAATGTATTTAATAAGGTGGTATTTCTTTTGGATATGGAATCATTGCCTTTTAGTTATTATTAATTGAATATTCAATTAATGAAAAAATAATTCTATTCTTAATAAGAAAATCATGAGTTTTGTTATCTTAATTTAATGCTTCTAAAGTCTACATAGGTATTGTAATCAATTAAATAGCTTGCTAAGGTTATTAATTTTTATTTAATGCAAAACAGATATTTAATTACAACTGAATTTATTGATAAATAAATAAATTTTTTGTCATTAAATAAGATCGGATTGATAAAGCTCTACAAATATAATTTAGTCCAATTTGAGTCTTTTTTCTTAGAATCTCAATTGCACCAATATTATTAACAAATGAAATTAAAATAAATAAATGATCTCTATTTTATGATTTAAGTATTACTCTAAGAACTCTTATAACCTTTTCAATTCAAATGGTAAAACATCATCATTTTTTTTTAATTTAATTTTGACATCAAACATTTAACTTATTTCTGAATCTGAGAACTATCTATAATCATCTAAGATTGTAATAATCATGTCTTTAATATCTTTAATATTTGGAAGTTAATTTTAAATCTTTAAGCAAAGACACTTAAGATTCTATTACAATAATACACAAATTTTCTTTGCAATTTTAAAAGCTTTCTATTAATAATAGATCAATTTATTACTTTATATTCTTCAGATTCTATATTCTTAAAATATTCAATTTGCAATTTCTCAAGGTATGAAGAAATAATAGATTGTACTTCTTCATAAGGTAGATTTGTTCTAAATATTTTCATTATTTCATCAAATTCAGAATCCATTAAAATAATAAATTAATTAATATTATAAATCAGCACTTTTTGCCAAATGATTAAGTAAATTCTTCATAAGAGATCTCAATTGATTATTCTAAATTTTCTGGAATTTCTTTAGGTTTTAGTATCTATCCAATAGTTAAATTTTTCTAAATAAAAGTTTCATGTAACAGTTTCATTTAAGCAATCCAATAATTCTATTGTTGCAAATTCTACTACTAAGAAACTAATTCTAATATAGTTAACTAATGGCCTGATATAACTTCATTGAAATTCTAAATAGGCATTTATTTAATAATATTTTCTTCATTCCCAGATATATCTTTTTCCATTTTTATTATATCTTACCATGGTTCCTCTATATGATTGATATTAATTTAAGTTTTGAGTTCAAGTAACTTTTTCACGGTGTTATCAATAGTTTTATGTAAATTAAATTATGATATTGCTTATTTATCATAATTCTATTTTAAAGTTTATAACTAAATTTTTAGTTATTATATTTTTTTTTGTTTGTACAATCTGTTCTATTATAATTGAATATCATGTTCATTTAATAACAAATCTTGTTTAGGTTATCTATTTCCACGAATAGGTTTTTTAGTAAATAATAATTGTCCTATTTGATTTAATTTTAACAAAATACTATTGTTAGTTAAATCTTATAAGATGTTAGAACTACTAGATCTTTCTGATCGATGAGTATAGATATTACTGTGATAATTTTCATTTTAGTATCTCTGCTTCATAATTTAATTATAAAATTAACAAAAACATAAATATCAATAAAATTACATTTGTTCAACAGAATTTATTGAGAAATACAAATTAATTAGTACTCTTTCTTTTTGTTGTAGATACAATGTTTTTTTAAATTCTAAAAAGATTCTCAATTTATTATTACTATGATTTAGTTTATAGACTAGAATCTAATAATAATATTAAATTACATACCAAATTATTCAAGACTCTCATTAATATTTAATTTACTAAATTAATAATTTAATACTTTTGGCAATGATAATGAATGCATAGTTTTTTTTTGCATAATGTAAATCTGAAACTGAAGTAAGTAATTTTAATTTTGATTGTTAATTGTACTTTTTGACCTTAGAAAGAGGGAAATAAGGTTATTTGTAATAATCTTAACTTAAATATATAATATTCTAAATAGGTTTTTGTCTTTATTCAATTCTCTTTTTTGTATAATATCATTTAAATTTTTGTAGAATTCTATTCAAATTTATTTCATTTTAAGAACATAAAGCTTATTAGGTATATATAGAGATTTATTCAATATTAGGACTAAGTTCAGGATCATATCATAACATCAACTTTAATAAATTATTTAAATTAAGACTTTAATTAGAATTGTATGTTAAATGAATTCCTTTTAGAATTTTCTTTTATAAAAGATCAACATTGTTAGCTACTTTTAATGGATCTTTAAACATCATCTAATATAACATATATCCAATCATCCAAATATCAGATTTATAATTATAAGTTTATGTTCTGATGAATTCTGGAGCCAATAAATATGTATCAGTATAATTTTGTTAATGTAAATAAAACAGAATATTCATCTCTTCTAATAGAGTGTTTGTTTGATTTTAAAATATATTCGATAATTACAATATCCCATGAACTCTTTTAGGATAATATAATTATAAGGCTCATGATATCTATATAAATAATATTGATACTTCTTATATTATCTTCCAAATTACTTGTTCATTCATAGGATATTCATATTATCTATCTAAATAATCACTTACTATTCTAATCATCAATAATATTTATACTAATACTCTAAATATTTCATATCTTAATCAAAAGATGCTTCATAAAACTTAATATTATGTGGATTTTTATAATTACATAACTTAGAGAGTATTTTAATTATACTTTGTACTCTATCTTTTGGAATACCTTTTAATGTAAATATTCTCAACATGTAATAATTGACTTCTTAAATTAGTTTTATTTAAGTATATTGACAATTTCATATTGAGGAAATAACTGTTCCACACTTTTCATTAAATTAATTAATGGAACTTAGAGAAGCCTTTATTACATTTCTTAATTACATTAAAAATCAATAATAGATAACATAAACATTGAAGAATACAATTGATAAGATAATCACATCATTATAATCCAAAGCAACTGATACTGAAATCAAATAATTAATTTTCTAATCCACATCTCATCACCAAAGAGTCAACTCTTAACCCACTAAACCACCTTTAATTATTAAATAAAATGCTCTTATTGGATTAACAGCATTTAATTTAAAACCATAAAGAAAAATCTCAGAATAAGAAAAAATTGTTCCACATCAAGAAACACGATAACTATATAGTAATTTAGAAATTCAAATTAATAAACAAAAGTAATAGGAAATATCATTTGGTAAATTTTAACCAAAAATCCTTTTACTTAATGATCTTATGCTTTGCCTGAAATAATTCTAATAAAATACAGAAACACTCTCTTAAATATATAATCATACTTCAGAAATACAAACTGCTTATGGAATTAGAGTAAGTCAAGATATCCATGGATCAACTTAAGTCAATCGAAAAGGATCCAATAAATTATTTGCTGGATATAATAGTAAATTAATGAGTGATGATCAATTGGTAGCTATCCAAAATAATTTTCTTATGAAAAAATAAATTGTCAAAGGATGTCATTAAGATATAGTTAATGAATCACCATTATTCATGTAAAAGTAGATCTTCTTAATGTGAATAATTTATTATTTTTGGATATATGATTAACTATATATCAATCTCATTTGTTAAATTTCATTAAAAAATATCAACTAAACATTAGACTTGATGATTATCTTTATAACATAGAATCTATTTCCTTCTCTATTTTATTTATTTCAATTAAATCATCACTATATATTATATATATGAAAGACTAATTAAAAATACATTCCAAGATATATATGATTTATATTAATAATATTTGTAAGATATTATATATAATAGTGAAACAGTTATTAGATATAAAATAACTCAAGTTTGAATATTTGAAATGNTAATCATCAATAATATTTATACTAATACTCTAAATATTTCATATCTTAATCAAAAGATGCTTCATAAAACTTAATATTATGTGGATTTTTATAATTACATAACTTAGAGAGTATTTTAATTATACTTTGTACTCTATCTTTTGGAATACCTTTTAATGTAAATATTCTCAACATGTAATAATTGACTTCTTAAATTAGTTTTATTTAAGTATATTGACAATTTCATATTGAGGAAATAACTGTTCCACACTTTTCATTAAATTAATTAATGGAACTTAGAGAAGCCTTTATTACATTTCTTAATTACATTAAAAATCAATAATAGATAACATAAACATTGAAGAATACAATTGATAAGATAATCACATCATTATAATCCAAAGCAACTGATACTGAAATCAAATAATTAATTTTCTAATCCACATCTCATCACCAAAGAGTCAACTCTTAACCCACTAAACCACCTTTAATTATTAAATAAAATGCTCTTATTGGATTAACAGCATTTAATTTAAAACCATAAAGAAAAATCTCAGAATAAGAAAAAATTGTTCCACATCAAGAAACACGATAACTATATAGTAATTTAGAAATTCAAATTAATAAACAAAAGTAATAGGAAATATCATTTGGTAAATTTTAACCAAAAATCCTTTTACTTAATGATCTTATGCTTTGCCTGAAATAATTCTAATAAAATACAGAAACACTCTCTTAAATATATAATCATACTTCAGAAATACAAACTGCTTATGGAATTAGAGTAAGTCAAGATATCCATGGATCAACTTAAGTCAATCGAAAAGGATCCAATAAATTATTTGCTGGATATAATAGTAAATTAATGAGTGATGATCAATTGGTAGCTATCCAAAATAATTTTCTTATGAAAAAATAAATTGTCAAAGGATGTCATTAAGATATAGTTAATGAATCACCATTATTCATGTAAAAGTAGATCTTCTTAATGTGAATAATTTATTATTTTTGGATATATGATTAACTATATATCAATCTCATTTGTTAAATTTCATTAAAAAATATCAACTAAACATTAGACTTGATGATTATCTTTATAACATAGAATCTATTTCCTTCTCTATTTTATTTATTTCAATTAAATCATCACTATATATTATATATATGAAAGACTAATTAAAAATACATTCCAAGATATATATGATTTATATTAATAATATTTGTAAGATATTATATATAATAGTGAAACAGTTATTAGATATAAAATAACTCAAGTTTGAATATTTGAAATGAAAATTATTTAGATATAAGAAATTAGAATTATTTAAATATATTATCATGAAATAATAAAATAAAGTTGAATGATATTATGCTTAAGAAAAAGTTTAGAATGTCAAAGTAAATTCAAATTTTGGAATACATGAAGATCATGAACAATGGCAAGTTATCATTGTTCTAAAACAAAAGATTAAGGAGAGATTTATTATTATTATTTATGTATAATATGCAAGAAGATTACTGGTTATGAATTTTGTATTTGTATTTAAAGAAATAAATAATAATTGTGATTCATATTATTATTGATTATAGACTCAATTCTGATTAATAGAATTAATATTCAATGATATCTAAAACATAGAATGATTTTTAATACATGTTAATTTAAAAATAAATTTTGTAAAATTAAAAAATTACAAATATGAAATTATATTCTTCATTCTCAAGATGTATCCCTTCTAAAATTTATTATTTCTTATATGTAATATTTATCTATTTGAATTTAAAGAAGTAACTTTTTTTTCAGCAACTTAAGATATTCTATTCTGAAATAATGTACATTTCTGTATAAGTAGAACTATTACATTTGATAAAATTAATAAATTTTGATTTAGAACATCAAAAATTATAAAGTGTAGAGTATATGGTGATATATATTGAATATTAGGAAATAACTCTTATGATAAATAATTCTCAAGGATTAGATAGTTAAATATTTTTAAATAATAGAATCGATTTCTCACTCTATAAGATTTTTCTACAAATGTTATTTCTGATATTATATATAGTTTCATTTTTTTAAATGGCTTTTAAAGAGGAAATAAGATTATATATATATTTAATCTTCAGTATCTAACTTTTATAAGATCAACTTTTAATTATTTTATCATTATTCTCTTTTTTTGACAATAATTTTCTTAGATAAATTAAATTAATAAATTTAGTATTAATTTAACTGTGTAGTTTTACTCATATATTATCAAGCTTATAATCTCTATATCATAACATCATTAGGCATTGATTTATATATATATGATTAGATTTTGTTATTTTGATATTCTATAACCAAATAAAAAATCATCAATTTTTAATTATATGATCTGATAATTTATAGTAGATTCTTCAAAATTCTATTGATATTAAAAGTTTATCATATTAATTCTTTCTTATCTCTTTGTTTACTTAATCTAATTATTGTAAATATTAATCAGTATTTTGTTTTAAATTTGTATATCACATTTATTAATTAATGACATTTTTTTGGGCTGATATTCCATTTGAATGGACCTGTCTCACTTTAAGATATCATAATGATATGCTTTGGTAATTGATATCATTTTGACCTTTAGGTATATATGGAGACTTATATAAATGATACCAACCTTTGCAGCAAGGTTCTATCAAATATATAGGCATCAAACAACTCCTGATTATTATCTTAAAATTAAGAAAGGTTCTTGGGATTAGTTTATTGTCATGTTTTTGTATTAAAAAACAATACTATAAGGCTGCAACAATCCAATTTTATTATTTAATTGATTTAACAATCTCTATTGGAGGGAACTTTTTTTGAACGTTGCAGATTCTGGCTGTGGTTTCATCATATGTAAACCATTTTTTCAAAATACAAAAGTTTTCATGGTAGTGATTCCTGTATTAAATCTAAGAAATGAATATAAATGTTAAGACACAATGATCATGGCTACACATACTTTATTGATGAAGTATCCTTTCATCTTTTTATTTAATATATTATATGTTGGGCTTGTATTATATCACAATATTTTTCTCTATATCAGGTATATACATAATATATCCTAGCTAGTCCATTAAATGAAAAATAGTTCAATAGATTCCTGGGTAAATTCTTCCCATTCATCTATAACAGTTTTATAGTCCTCTTGATTGATGATTGCAATAATGCATTACCATTCTTTTATTGAATGATTCATAAGATACATATATCTTATTTTATGATTAATTTACAATCAATATTAATTTATCTAATTTTAATTCATTTGTTGTACTTAAAAAAGATAGAATAATTATATAGTAGTGGACAATAAATATATATTAAGAATATATCTAAAATATTCAATTATTGTATTCATATCAATTCAATATTATATATCCAATATAAATTCAAAAGCATTTTATTAAAGGATATTATTTAAAAACTCTATATTCAGTAAGTGATTACTATAATATAAATTAACAAATGGAATAATTATCTAAAAATTTCTATTTTATCTTAAGATATTGAAATTAGTTAAAGTCAAAGAATATGATGATTAAAAATCAAGTAAAATTTCAAGTTTAATATTGTAATATAATTTACAAGTTAATAATATTCTTAAATGGAAATAAAAACTTATTTGAGAATGAGTTAATTTACAATTGGATTTCTTTATTTTAATTAATATGCTACAATAGGATATGATATTATATTTTAGAAAATAGGGAAATTGATTGTCTAAGTTAAATTCTGTAGTATGTAGATTAGGTTTTCTATTTAAAGTATATTAACTCTGGAGGAAATTGTACTTCTTCTAAACAAATAAATTATGTTCTAATTTGAGTAAATTTTATAGAATAATAAACATATTATATATTACGAATATTTAATAGTTCAAAAGTAATTTCAGGTTATTAGTTTTGAAGCAGCAATAGTATTTTTTAATAAGGATGCATAAATAAATAGTAATTTACCTAAGAGAATAATGAAATAAGATGGCTATAAAAAAAATGAAATGGGTATTCGGAAAAAAGAAGGAGTAATTATGTGATGACAGTAGTCAATAATTCTTATTTATTTTATAGAAGATGTTTCTCCATCTCTATAATTGAGTAAGTTTTTTAGGTTTAATTAGCATATGAAAATTCCCATAAATTAAAAATTAATATTAAATAAATTGAATAAGGGGAGAGAGGAGATAATGATATTTCTTTTGCCACATGAAAATAATTATATTGTTTGAATATTAAATTAAATGGCTTCTCATTTTTTATCTTTTCTTTTTCTATCTTCTATAATATAAGAATTGAAATACTGTTGTCCTATTAAGTGCTAAGCTAATAAGCTAAAGTTTCTTTGATAAATGGTCGTTGGATATCAATAGGTTTATCAATAATCTTGGCGTTAGCATTAACATTTTAATCATTAATGACCAATTATAAATGGACTGGAGGACGTAATGCCTCCTGCAATTAAGAGGACGATGAATACAAGAGTAAATAACTTGAAAATTAAATTGCTGCCATACTTCCTATTTTACTAAAAAACATATATTCCAATTAGATCTCCATACTTTTTAAACTCCAAATAGACATTAAAAGGAGGTACATCTCTATCTAATTCAACTTGCACCTCATAATTTCTCAATAAATCTTAAACAGGTCTTTATTTTTTAGCCACTACCAAAAGAGGTATACCCTTAACTTGTAAACAGGGTCTCAAATTGACTAAAAATTGAGCAGTATTTTCATCTTAAAATTATAACTCTAAATATTGCATCTTATCAGAAGTGTCTTAATAATTTAAATAAATAATAACTCCATATTTGATGAATAGGTGCATTCTATTTATGATGAATAACAATCTCTTAGATAACATCATTCTCATTAACTTCTTGTGGTATAGAAAAGATATAAACACTATTTTTATCAGTGTACACCTATTAAGGTTTGATAGGTTAAACATTCAATTAATCTTTATTTAAATCTAAAGAAGAACTCCTAGATGATTATCTATTTTTCTTAATTTATTTTATTCTTCTTGGTTCACTAGAAGAAGATGGAGATCTCCTTCTTGATCCTTAACCTTAAGATTATTTGTTATCAACTTTTTTACTCTTCTTTTTCTTACTAACACTTCTACTTTTATATCTTCTTGATGATTCACTACTATCACTTCTACCCTTAGATTATTACTACAATCAACTTTCTATTATTACATTTCTCCTCAATGATCTTTCTAAATGTTCTTTTTCTAACATATTCTTATTTTCTAAATAGTTTTTAAATGCATCACTCAATTCAACAACTTCCTTTTATCTTCCTATTCATAATTTAATTTTATTATACCATTTCTTCCAAAATTGAAATGTTTCTTACCAATGTATACTAATTTTGCATTATCATCATTGCTCATTCCAATTGCTACATCACAATAAGAACCTTAAGTATTGAACATTTAAACTACATCACATGATCCAGCCAAATTCACTAAATATTACCATACATTACCTTTTCTCTTTATGAAACTCAAGAATTCATTAGTACTCATACCATTCATATGTACATGACGTACATAAAAGTGAATTTTAAATTCACTATGTGGATAGTAACGTTTTCCAATCTTATTCTCAAAAGATGATGATTAATTTGAGTATGATTCATTTGAAGAATCACGTCTCTTAGATTGCCCTTTTCTACCTTCCTCCCCATATGAAGAAGCATTTCTACCTTCCTCTTTTGTCTCTTATTTTTGTACTTCCTCTTGTTAACCTTATTACTAAATCATTTTTTTAAAATATTAATGTTAAATTCAAATAATGAGGCGCTTCTCAAACAGGTTAACAAAAATCAAACTCTTCTTATCCAAAAACTATAAGATGATATTCAACTTCTTAATGAAGAAATTGAAACTTATAATCAATAGATTGACACTCTCAAATCTGAACATAATTTAACATTATCATAACAATAATCCATTATTGAAAATCTTACAATTGAATGTTAGAACTATTAATAATAAAATATGGAACTTTAATCCAAGTTCACTTAATCTGTTTTACAAAATTAATTGTTATAATCCAAATATGATAAAAAGAACAAATAATATAAAGATTAAATAATTGAACTCAAACAATAAATCAAATTGTTACATCTCAAAAATTAAGAATATTAAAGAGAAATTCTAGACCTTCGTAAATCCATAGATATCAAAAAAATTGAATTCTCTAAACTTATAGACAACTCATCCTTATTAAACGAATAAAATAAATAGCTAAAAGCTAATTTGGATCTTTAATAAGTTGACTATGAAAATAAAATAGAACAATTTCAAAATTTAATTTAAGATAAGGATGAAGAGATAACTCTAATCATAAATGAAAACAGTATATTAAATAAAAACAATCTAGAATTAATGGAAAAAAATATCAATCTTTCTGAAAGTCTTCATTCCTAAATAGATATTCTATAAAAAGATAATCAAAACTTATAAATTCAATTATCTGATCTCTAAAACCATAATAGTGTTCTAAAATAATAATTGTAATAATAATCTTCAGAAATATAAATCATATCATCTTCAATACAATTATAATCAGCTGCCTAAACTCAATAACTACTTGTATAATAAAGAAGTTAAGAATTATTTAATCGTAACAATTAACAAGAAATGATATTATTATAAAATTAGACTGACATCCAATCTCTTCAATAAATTATATAAGTCTAAAATTTATAATTAAATCAATCATAATCAATTTAAAGTGAAATACTATAATAATAAGAAATATTAAATATTGAAAAAGAAAATTAAAATTAGATTAATACTTTAAAATAATAAATATCTAAACTTACAATTGAATTAAAAGAATCTGAATTAAAGAATGTTTAAGTTAAATAAATATAAGAAAGTACTATATCAAAATTAAATCATGATATAAGATTATTAGAATAAAAAAATGAAGATTTAGTTTTACATAATAATAAACTTATAAATGAAATCAAATAAAATGAATTAAATCAATAAAAAGAATCAACTATTATTTGTTAAAAAATATCAGAATTTGAAATTTAATTATTAGAATCACATCATTAAATTGAAGATTTAAAATAAGAAAAATAAAAATAAGAACTTGTTGTTGAAATGTTAAATCATTAATTATAAATATCCAAATAAATCTAATCTAAATTAGAAGAAGATATAACTAAATATCAAAATTTTTTAATTTCACATGATAAATAATTGGAAGCTGTCACTTCAAATGAAAGTTCTGACTCTAGTGATTCAAGTGAAGATATAATTACAGAAAAACAATAATAATTAAATTTTGATGCACTATGTACTAAATTAACAGAATAAATTAGACTCATCTAACTTAGATTAGAAATTTATGAAAAATAAATTAAACAATACAAATAAGAACTTCATTCCAAAACTATTGAAATACAAAAATTATTTAGTGAAAACTCTGAATCTAATCTTAAAGTATAAAGATTATCATAAATGTAACCTAAATTAGAATATTAATTAGAAAATCAAGAAGTATCTCTAAAATAAAAAGATATAACTATTGAAAATCTTACATTATAAATTACAAAATAATAAGTATAACTTCATTAAAATGAAAACTAAATAAAATAATTGGAAATAGATAATGAATTATTGAATCAAAAGATTCTATCATTAGATGTTGAACTATCAAATTTATAAAATCAAATTTAAAATGATTAAGCTATCAAAAATGATTTATAGAATAATTTATAATCTATTTAAGAAGAAAATATGCAAAATATTGAATTAAGGAATTCTCAAGAAACATCAATTTCTATTTTTAATCAAATATTACCAAATATCAATTTTGAAATACTATTATTTATAGAAGAAAATACAACATAAATTAAATTATTATTATAAAATAAGATTGATTGTCTATAAAGTAATCTCTTAAGAACTATTAATAAGTATTAAAAATTACAAGAAAAAATATAAAAGAATTATCATAATATATAGAATTTGTATGAATTATCTTAATAGACTGTAATATAATAGGAAAATCAATTTTAAATTGAAAATTAAAAATAATAAATTTAAATTTAAAATTTGTAGGAGGAAATAAATTCCAAAAACATACTAATAAGTTAATTAGAAGATTAATTATAAATTCTGTCTGTTTAATTTAAGAATATAGAATAATAGAATCAAGATTAACAACATATTATCACTCAATTAGAAGTATAAAATGAAAAAAAAATTAAAATAGATGATTAATAAAAAGAAATTTATTAGACTAAATTAGAAGAGTTATAAAAAAGAGTTATAAATTATGAAGTAGATTTAGATAAAGCAGTATAAAAGAATATATAATTAGATATATTAGTGAAAGATTTAAATAATTAAGTACAATCTAAATTGAATACAATTAAAGAACTAAACCAAGAGTTAGATAAATTAAAAAATAATTAGACTGGAACATCATCATTAGACTAATTAAAATTACAATAGTAATAAAAATAGATATTTGAACTAATTTCAACTAATACAAATTTAAATCAATAAAATTTAGATGCTTAGCTTAAATTAAAAGAAATAGAGGATTTAAATTAAAATTTATAAGATAAAATGAATTAGTTAGCTAAATAAGGAGTAAGTTAAAAAGAAACAATTAACTAATTACAACAATAAAATTAAATGGAAGTCAAACAAAATTTGAGTTTGCTGTAACAAATGGATCCTCTATAAAACTAGATTGATTATTTAACAAGAGAAAATAGAAAATTATAATAATTAAATAATGATTTTGAAAAAGTTTATGGAAAATTACCACCTTATGGAAGTCCAAAGAAAATTTAAAATTGTGATTAAAATTAAATTAAGAAATTAGAAGATGAAATATACTAAATGCAATATAAATTCTAATAAGAAATTTAGGAAAAGAATATAGAAATAAATAATATTTAAAAATAATATGAATATCAATTAGAAGAAATTAGAGATTAGGATGAAATATAAAAACTAGAATAAAATTGTATAATATTAAGTGATTAATTAAAATAATAATAAGTATTGAATAATGAACTATTGCATAAAAATAGTTAGATTGAAGTAGAAAATTGTAAATTAAATGAAGAATTAGATAAACTAATAAAATAGTTGAATATTCAAAGTCAAAATCAAAATATTTTAGAATAGAAAGAGAATGAATTAAATAAATTGAAAATACTTAACTAGTAAATATTAGATGAAAATTAAAAATTATAGAATTTAGTTATTAATTTATAAGAGGAGAATAAAAATATCAATTAAAATAATAGTAATGAAACTTTAAATAAAATATTAAAAGATTCTGAAGATTAAATGATATAAGATTAATAGACAGTTATTGAATAAGAATTTGCAGAATAACAAAAATAGATTGATTTAAATAAGTTAGATCAATAATAAATGCTTTAGTTATTTTAAATGGATAATTAAGAAATAAATTAGAAATATGAATAGAATATAATTTTATGTAAAGAATTAAAATAATAATTAAATGAACAATTTGATTAAATTTAAGATAAATAAAAATTAATACTATCTTTAGAGAAGGAAATAAAATAATTAAATTATGTTAATTAAACATATTATCAGTAGATTACTGAATTAAAGTAAAATTTAAAAAATAAGGAATAATAATTTGAGGATTAAAATAACAAAATTAAAGTTTTAACTTAAGAAATAGATTAAAAAGAAGATTAATATAAAAAATAAATAATGTAATATCAAATGGAGAATTAATCAAATAAAAATATTTTTGATGAGAGAATTAAGTAGTTAGATATTGAAATGAAATAAAAAATAGAAGAATTAAATAAAAGATATTAAATTTAACAATAAGATAATTCAGAATATAAAAATTTGAATCAAAATTTGGAATAGAGATATACTTTATTAGTTAATGAGAATTCAAAATTATTAGAGTAAGTTCGAGAGCTAAAGTTAGCTTTGGCTTATTAAAGTGAATAAGATAGTTAGTTTAATTAGATGTAATCTAATTTAATTAGAATTGAATCATAGAATAATAGTTTAATTTAAATAAATTAACAATTAGAATTATCTTTATAATAACAGTAACAGGTTAATTCATAAATACTTTAGAAATAAGAATAATCATTTTAGATATAATTAGATAAATTGAATCTACAAATTCAGGATCAATATAATTAGGTTAAATTGCTATAATAGAAAAATGAAGAGTATAAATAAGAGATTGAGATGATAAGAAATGATTAAAAGAAATTAGAGAATGAGAGATAAATAAAACTATTAATGGATTAGGTTAGTTAGGCAAAAGGTTTGAATGTATAGTATTAGAATGAGATTTTAGAAAAGAATAATTTAATTAAGAAACTAATATAAGATAAGGATAAAAATATTAATAATGATATGATTGAATAATTATAAATAAAAATAAAAAGTAAGTAGTTTATATTATTTTGATAGTGAATGAGGAATAAATAGAAAGATTACTTATGACAAATAGGGCATTAATGGAAGAGAATACTAATCTTTAAGAGTAAATTAAAGATGATTTAAACTCTAGTTTTTGCAGTAATGCTTCATAAAAGTGATTATAATTAATTAATAAAATAAAAATGGGTAGTTGCGCAACAAAAAATTAAGAAAATGAAGTTTCTCTCCCTTCTAATCCTAGATTATAAAGGGCTTACTAAGTATAATAAATTTGATTTGATAGTAATATTCATAAATCATCGAAATTACTCACCCTCTCAATGTTAATCAAAAATACAATAGTTACTTTACTTTGATTCCTGATTAATTTATTGGCACAGGAATAAAGAAGACAAATCAATATGAATCTCGTCTCTCTAAAGAAGAATGGCAATAAAAAAGAGTGGAATTTTGGGGTATATATATATCTATTTGATGTATAGATTCAAGAATAGAGGGATAGAAGGAAAATTGGACTACAATAAAAGCTGCATTGGAAGCTGATGAAGGTACAAATTATAGCAAATTAGGAACTGCAAAAACTCTTTTGTAAGCTGCTGATTTAAAGCTAATCAAAAATAGTATGTAAATTGTATTTGATAATCATGGTATTATAATAAAAAATCAATTATGTAGGTTAAAAATATGATTTACCAGTTTTTGTGATGCATAATCCTGTTTCTTTCCCATAGAAACAATCTTATGATTAAAATCTTTACTAAAGTTTTGATCGTAAGATTGTTAAGGTAAATTTGAATTATTATAGTCTAGTTTAAAGTAAGAAGTACAAAATGGAACATTGATAAGGAAGTTTCTTACAATACAGGAGATAAGGTCGAATCATTAATAAAAGAATTATAATCAAAAGAAGAATCTTAAAAAATGAAACTATTTGTTAATGGTAGAGAAATGAGAGGCCATAACATGTTTGGAAATTATGGTGTCCAAGACAATTCTGTATATATTCAAACTATCCTCTATTAGGTTGTACAAGCATTTATGTTCTGATTATATAACAATATATATATTAATAAATAGAGATGTTACAAAATACTATAAATTCATACAGTTTAAATATATAAATAAACTGTTGAAATTAATCATAAGGGCTAATCAAATCAAATTTCTAAGTTCAAATTGTCTTTTGTAATAGAAAACTAATTAAATAGAAAAAATAGGATAAAAAATCATAAAACATAATCTAGCAATAATAACAATATTATATATTGAAGTATTGGATGTGGGATGTAAATTTATTAAGATACTTATCTTTTTTATTATAGATAATTCTTAAATATAAATGGTAATAAGTTGATTGAAATAGTAAAAAAGTTTATCATAAGTGATATTTAAAGAATTTGAATTATAATTTTAATATACATATTAGTAAGGTTACATCTATTAGTATAAATATATTTTAAATTGATGTAAATCCACATTTATAATGATTACTTATAATAATTAAGTAAATAATAAATGATAAAATATTTATTTTAAAATAGTAATTTTAAACAAATCTCAATGAACTGATATATCATTGATATATCAATAAAAGTATTTCTTGAAAACTTTCACTTATATATGAAACACGTTATTAAAAAATCAATATTAAATTTAAGAATATATTGTAATTTAATTTATTTTGATTCAATAATTTGTTCCATAAATTTACTGTATAAAATCAATTTTATATTTAAAAAGGAAAAATATGAACATTAATTTAGGAAATCTACTGAACAATATTAAAATTTAGACAATATTGGAATTATTTAATAATCCTTTTTGAGCTGCTGTGTTGTTAAATATGAATAGAATTTAAAATAACTATTATTATCTTATCTGTTTGTAACCTTATGATAAATAAAATTAATTCCTCAATTCCATTTTAGGGAAATGATTGAAGTACTTTTATAGTGAGACTATATAAACATTAAGTAGGTTTTAAATAAGAATTTTTGTATCCAGTAATATTTATTTATATATTATGATTGTTTGATTTATGAATAAATAAATATTTTGCTTGATTTAATATGAAATCATTGTTTTGTGTATTTAGCATCTTCAATCATTGCAAAATATTGAGCCAATTGAAAATTGAATTATTAATTAATTATTTCTTTAACTTCTTTTCTAAACATTCTCCTACATAAGAAAATAGTACAAAATGTAAGGATTGCCAACTTAGAAAGCACTGGAACCCATATCATCCAAATGTTTGAATTTAAAGTATGTTCAACCTAATATGATGAGAGAAGAGAATACCTAGATTTCATCATCTATACAACCAATCATTCTTTATTTGCAAATATTAGGAAGACATTGATCTTTGTAACTTTTACATATTGTTTACAATTGTTCAAAATGAGTAGTATCGAGCAATTTTTAATCACTTATTTCTTAATTAGTAGTTTAATTATAGACATTCAAGTCTCCTATATATATATTATATGTCATTTTTAGGCTTTTTATAAGGATTTTGTATTTAAATAGTTTTATTAAGGTTTTTGTAATTTATATAATGATTATCCCACATATTAAATTTTTATTATTTCCATACTAATATCTCATTCATTTTAACAGTTAGAGATCATAAAAATCTATTTGTCTTTTCATTCAATAATGAGTCCAATAATTCATATATTATAAAAATTAATTTATTTAATAAACCATTAATTGCCAGCTTTTAAAAAAAAGAATAATGAATAAATTTTGTTATTGTTTTGACTGTAGTTATCTGCTAATTCATCACTTTCATAGTTAAAACTTTCGACATAACAAACCTGTACTTCATCAGGATCTATACCTAAATCGGTCATAATATCAGTTGAGCAAAAAAGGAGAATACATTTTTGATAAACATAGATTGCTGTATTTTATAATATACTTCCACCAATTAATTTGATCTTATTTGAATATGCATAATTATCTTAAGATCTCTCTTACAGCATCTTAGCCATTCAAAATACCATCACCATCAGGATCAGTTGCACAATACCTACCTCCTGATAAACAATGTTAATTTGGTTTTAAATAAATATTCTTTTTGCATCCCTCACATCCAGCAATTGCTTAATGAGGAGTAAATTCTAATTAGTCCCTCATTTCCATATGGAATGGATAAAACTACTATAAGAACTAATAACTATCTTTTTCCATCGTCCATCTCACTAAACCAATAATGGTATTTAACAATGTCAGTTTTCAATTATCTTCTGCAATCCTAATCTTTCTGCTAGAAGAAGAGTTCGAGAGATATCTGTAATCACTAGTATTTTTTTTGTTCATTATTACAACTTAATGGTTTATAAAATTTATTTAATTTCATTTGTGCTAATAGGTTTCTATAAGAAATAGTCCATTCCTGCTTCTTTACACATTTATTTAGTTTACATGTCAGTATAGGCAGTCTAAGCTATAATGATGGGAGGATCCAAATCTACTGAACTACAATACTCTATAATTAATGATGTTGCTTATATGCCATTCATAATTGGCATTTCAATATCCATTAGAATAACTTAATAATAATGTTATTTAAATTTATCTAATCCTTCTTTGCCATTGTGTGCTTAATCACATTTAATATTTAATCTTGAAAACATAGTTGTAAGTGCATAGATATTAACAAATTCATCATCAACTATTAATATCTTAACTCTATCTTCATTTACTTCTATTGTTGTATGATCTTTAGGTGAATGTTTAGATTTTTTAGGTTTTTTTGTTTCTCTAAAAATATATGGAGCACAAATATTTTCATCTGGTTCTGAGAAATCTAAGATATAAAATGTAATAGTTTACTTTCAGAATTTTTATCAATTAATTTTTGTTTACCTTTGAGAGAGAAAGTGAAAGATGATTATCTCTTCTTATCACTTGGACTAATAAGAAAACTCTATTCTAATACACTTCTACCAGAACTAATAATCTTATTATATTTAATTGTTCTTTTGCTAATTAAGTCAGGAGTTTCAAGCATTTTAAGATCCTCCAAATAAAACCAGAAAACTGAACCATTTTGATTATGTGATTCAAAATGAATTCCAGATTCATAATTTGGTGATAATCCATTACATATACTATTACTTATCATCAAACCTAATCCATAATTAAAATTAGATTATCTTTTATGTGGTTAATTAAGGAATTCTTTAAGTTTAGATTATGTTTCTATATTCATTCCTGAACCTGTATCTGAGACACTTACTTTAACAAATACTTAATCTCTTACTATCTATTCTATAAGTGTAATAGTTATATTTCCATTGAATGTAAATTTTTAAGCATTAGATAATAGATTATTTAATACTTATTTAAAACGTTAACCATCAGTATGAATATATATTTCATTCATTTTTATATTTAATTCAACTCCTTTCATACTTAATTATTATCTATATAAATCAGCTACTTCATTAATAAGTAGATAAATATTTTGAATTTGTATAGTGAATATGAAATTCTTAGAGAGAATCAAACTAAAATCTCTAACATCTTATACTATAGAATTTAGTATATAACAACTATTTAAAATTGGTTAAAGAATATTGTTGACAACATAATCATCATCAATATCTTCTACTGCACTTTCAGCAAGTATTCTTATACAATTAAGTGATGTACTGAATTCATGACTAAAACTTCTAAATAATTAACTCATTAATTATTTAGTTATTTTACGTTCCCAATATTCTCTGCATTCATAAAGATCAATAAATATCATACCAACATTATCATTATAATTAATTAATTCTATCATATAATGATCACCAAAAGATGTAGAACAATCCAAAATTTTACATTTTGGTTATTGACAATTTATCATTTATAATAAATTCAACATTTTTCTTTCTTTAATTTATTTATCTACTTTTTTAATAATTATTTCATTAATTATTTATTAAACTATTATTGGATCATCAGAACCCAATAATTTTTTCATATCTTCATTACTTGATATCATTTTTCCTTAATGATTAACAATTAAATGATATTGTTCATTATGACTTATAATCAAACTATCCGATGGATTATTCCACGTTTTTGAATAACTTCGATTCTTTGAAATCTTTGTCATTTTATCTATTGTATTACTATTCGATAACCATACTAATAAAACAAAGCAGTATGCAATTAAAGTATGATCATAATTAAACTCTAACTTAACACTTGCAATAACTCCAACAAAAGGTAGACATAAAAACACCTTTTTAGGATGTTAATGATTTTAGAGTGGAATGATATAAAGCAACCTTTTGGGAATAATGGATAATACATTTCGCTTATATGTGTATTTGCAACAGTTCTTAACGTATTGGCTATTAAAAGTAGTACAAGCATATATATTTGATTATTCTTTATCCGTCTATTTTTTATTCTCAAAAGACACCATATACTCAATATTGGCAACGATGAAAACATAGTATACAACTAATAGTCAGTTTACAACTTAAATAAACACTCAGCAACTGTTGCACAACAAATTCCTAGAATATACAAAAAATCTATAATAATCATAATTATTTTAAAAAATAATTCATTGATAAGAAATGTCTTATACAACAATTAAATATTTAAAATTATTCATTAAATTGAATCATTTTTTATTTAGTAATTCTTATTAAAATAATATATTATATTCTTATATCTAATCATACTTGAATGTGATTAATATTTTATATATAATTATTTAATTAATATAAAAATCACAATTCTAATTGCCATTAAGTATACAATTTATAATTATCTCTTTACTCATCTTCAACTTCTCTTATTAATGTAGATAATTATTTAATATTTTACATAAACTTTTATTTTACATAATACAATCTAAAAGAAACTTTAGTTTATGTATTTTCAATATTTTCCAATTCTGGTGGATTCATATTACATCCCATTTATTCATATATTTCATATATAGCCCATTATAATTGAATTCCAATATTTTGATTCTATTATTTTATTAATGTTAACAATTTTATTAATTTTTATTATTAAATCTCTTTGCAAAAAGAAACTAATACAGATTAAACTTTAAGATATTAAACTAATGTTTCTTCTTAAATGGTTGAAAAGATCTATTGAATAATTTTTAAATTATTAGTAAATATTTATTCTGCACTATCTTTCTTATTGGGATCAAGAAGAAAATACAATCGTTGAAGCAAAAATATTTGTTTATAATCATTTGATTATACTTTCAATTTATCATATACAATCTATTTTAGTTAATTATCAGTAAATTTATTGATTTACAAATGAAGTGCTAAAATTTCATAATGTTATTGTTCAATCAATTCACAAATATATGTTTGAGGAGATGAAGTTGCTGTTAAAAATGCATGTATTAATTATAATGATTTATAAGGTGATTCATTCTTTACAAATCCTAAAATGAAATCAAAAAATAAATGATCACAATCTTCATCTGATAAACATGAGAATATTTCTTAAATCTTATTATAATATTAAAATCCCTCTGATACCAAAAACTCACCCAATATTTAAATAATGTTTTCTTCATTCAAATCCATGAACAAATTATATAAAATAATATATATTTAATTCTAGTTCAAAATAAGATGTTTATGTAGAATGATATTTTTATTAATGTTAATCTATTCTTAAATATCAACAATCAACTGATGAACTCCATCCCATATAAAAACTATGATCAGCTATTGATGGAATAAGAATAGAATCTGAACAATTAGGATCTTCATCCAATTAACATACAGTATATGAAGCTCTATGATACCAAATTTCTCTATCAACATGATTAAATCCAAAGTTTTATGGTGGAACCTTTAAAATTAAATAAATTATATTACATGTGGTACAGCATCCTTTTCATGAACAACTCTAAAATGAGTCACTTTACTAAATGAAGAGAAATAATTATAATAGGCTTTATCACCAACTCTTGGTAATCCAAAAGTACTTAATTGAAGTGAATTTCCAGCTATTGCTAATTATGTAGCATAAAGAGTAGCCATAGCAGCTCCTAAAGAATGACCTGTTATGTGAAGAACAGCATTTGGGTACATCTTTTTGTATTTGACTAAAAGATTGTCAAGTTATGGCTCAAGTGATTTGAAAGCTTCAAGAAATCCTTTATGAACTTAACATTAACATGCATCATTATAAGTAACCTTATCAAATTATATGTTATCCAACCAATTTTAGATGTTGCTTGAACCTCTAAATACAATTGTAATAGCATTATAAGTGGGATTATAAGCAATATATCCTTTTGTTCCCTAAGAATAACTTTTATTTTCTTACTTAAATTATATTTTCAAAGACTTGAGGATTTTTAATATTTGGATAATTGGCACTCACATAACCCAATTTCCAATTATTAATTGCTGTAGTAGGACAATAAGCAGCAAAAGAGAGAGCAGCTTCTTCTTTAGCCAAATCTTCATTATATATGAATGTAGCACTGATTGTTGTTGCCAAAAAGATTAAAATAAAAGGTTATGATCTCATTAGAATTTTATTATTTTAATTATACAGAATAAATCAAATCAAAATGTTTATGTATCAAATATATAGAAAATTATGAATGGCATTATATAAAAATATTTTTATAAATAATTTACATCATATAATTTAAAATAAAATATTTTATGATGAAATATTAATAAATATTTTTAGAACTCTAATGATGTCATGATAAACTCATTTTTATATTTCCTTCACAGGCTCTGAATTACAAGAACTAGCAGACCAACCCAAATATGAATGATGATCATTCAAATTTGTACGTGTAACAGATGCAGAACAATTTTGATCTTCTCCTTTGATTTCTAAACAATTTATATAGTGTACTCCATCATAATACCAAATTTCTGTATTCACATGTTCAAAACCAAATCTAAATGGAGGTAGATGTGGAGCAATATCTCTTTTGTTTGTTAATCTTGTATGAGTAACTTACAACTTAGAAAACCAATCATAAAAATCAGAATCACCTACTCTTGGAGCTCCAACAGTAATTAAAGTCACGTTAATTCCAGTCATAGACAATTCACTAGCAAATAAAGTAGCCATTGCACCTCCTAATGAATGTCCTGTCACATGGAATTTAGCATATGGAAATTTAACTCTATATTCACCAATTAACACATCTAAATGTATTTTGAGTGATGAAT